AAATAAATAAATCTTTAGAAACAAAAACCCCAAACTCATCTTCCCCCTCCAGATCTTCCTTTCCTTAACAAGGTTCTTCTCTCAATAAATAGCACTGCCACCAAAACAGGAAACAACTGTTCACGTCAGTGATATAGAGTCATCTTTGGTTTCTCTCTCCTGGTCCTCTACCCACACTCAGTACGTCTCCAGTACTTTTTCTACCGCCTAATCGGCTCTCAGTTGTTCACTGCATGCCATTTCACTGTCACCAAATCCTTTACCTGGACTGTGATGTTAGCAGCTTAAAAAAATAAATAAATAAATAAAAACCAGGTACTCAATTATTTGAAAGGCAGAGTAAGGGGTGGGGGAGGGTGAGATGGATCTTCCATCCATTGGTTCATTTCCCAAATGCTCGAAACAGCAGCCAGGGCTGGATCAGGGCAAGGCCTCTCAACTGATGATCTCCTGGGATCCTTTCCAGCTCTTCCCCATTTGATTCTCCCCAATGTAGGCAAAATCATCACCACACTTTGCCTAAAACTCCCATTTCCAAGCTCTGTAACAGGCTCAAAGGACCTGTACGTCTGTTCCCTGCCTGCTACTCTAGCCACAGGAGTCAAAGATTGCTAACTACAACTCAATCTCTGTTCTCCTCTTCCTCAGAGACTAAATCCTGATTTTTAGCTGAATATGTGGTCATAGAATAAGGATCTTTCCCAACTTCTCTTAAAACTAAGTGTGGGGGCTGGCAGTGTGGCGAAGCAGGTAAAGCCTCTGCCTACAGTGCCAGCATCCCATGGGGCATCAGTTCAAGTCCCAGCTGCTCCACTTCTGATCCAGCTCTCTGCTATGGCCTGGGAAAGCAGTAGAAGATGGCCCAAGTCCTCAGGCCCCTGCACCCACGTGGGTGACCCGGAAAGAAGCTCCTGGCTCCTGGCTTCGGATTGGCATAGCTCCGGCCATTGCAGCCAATGGGGAAGTGACCCAGTGCATAGAAGACCCCCCCCCCCACCTCTTCTTCTCTCTCTCTATAACTCTTTCAAATAGATAAGTAAATCTTAAAAACAAAGTGTGGCCGTGTAGCTGAGTTTGGGCCAGAGGCATGTGAGTATGCCTTTAGGAGAAGGGGAATGGCCCTCACCTTCCTTTTCCCTTTCCTGCTCATTCTAAAGTGGAAATTGTCGGCAGGAGGAGCCACGGGGGTCACTGTGTGAAAGGTGCCTGTGGAGGAGAGGCAAAGTCCGCCTGGGTGGTTGTAAAATGCTGCATCAACTTGCACTCCCTTCCTGGACTTCTTTTACAAAGAAAGCAGCCTTTTTATTGGAACCACTGACACACTGGTTCTCCTGCCCTTGGAGCAGTTTGTCTAACTAACACATGTGCCAGATTTCTTCCAGATTCCCTGGGCTTTTGTGGATGCAGTTCTCTTGGCCTGAGACACTGCTGCCACCTCCAGCGCCCTGTCTACTTCCGCCTTCAACACAGGGCTGAAGTGCTTTTCTGGGCGTCCTGCTGGACTCCCTGGATGAGATTCAGTATACTTGCTGCTCACTCCTTCCGCTCTCCTTGGACCCTATGCACTGCTGCTTTAATGACTGGGTTCCTATCTGTCTCTTCCACCATACCATGTACTCTGTAAGTGCAAGTATCTGCACTGTCTACTGTCATCCAGGCAACTGGCACTCAGTATATGCCCAACAAATATTTGCTTAAAGAATGAATGAATAATATCACAACCCTTGAGTGATTTCTGGACCACACCTTGAGGATTTCTTGGTCTTATATTAATACACATAGGTACTAGTATTACATGTACTCTTGGAATTTTTTTAAATGGAATCTTTTCATTAATATGACCAATATTTTTAAGAGTCTGGGTGCCTTAAAGATATTTTTAAAGGAAAAAAAATAAGAAACATACAAATTATAATATTTGAATTCTGGCCATGTACAATGAGAAAAATTTAAGTCTCTGCAGGCATGTGATGAAGTGGTTAAGACACTGCTTGGGATGCCCACATCTCATATTTGGGGTAGCTGGCTCAGGTCCCAGACACTGGCTTTTGAACTAACTTCCTGCTAACGTGCACCCTGGGAGGCAGCAGATGATGGTTCAAGTGCCTGGGTCCCTGCCACCTGGATAGAGTTCCTGGCTCCTGATGTAGGCCGGGCCCAACCCTGTCTAGTGCAGGCATCTGGGGAATGAACCAGTGGATGGGATATTGCTCTTCCTCTTTCAAATAAATAGAGGTAAATAAATAAAAAGTTAAATAAACAGAGCCTTTTAATGGCATAAGTACCTGTTGGTTTACTGTTTAATATATGTGCCCTGACAATCAAGATTCTTTTTTTTTTTTGCTATTTTTTTTTAAATTCATTTATTTATTTGAAAGGCAGAAAAACAGAGAGAAAAAAAGATTTTCCATCTATTGATTCACTCCCCAAATGGCTGGGGCTGGGCCAAACCAAGGCTAGGAGTCAAGAACTTCTAGGTCTCTCACGTGGGTGCAGGGGCCCAGGTACTTGGGCCAGTTTTCACTCCTTTCCCAGATGCATTAGCAGGGAGCTGGATTGGAAGTAGAGCAGCAGGGATTCGAACCCATGCCCATGTGGGCTGCTGGCACGGTAGGCAGAGGTTAACCTTCTATGACACAGTGCTGGCCCAACAAGAAAGACTCTACATGGCTTCTATAACTTACATAAAGTAAGCACTTTTATTTTATGTATTTATTTTTTGACAGGCAGAGTTAGGGAGAGAGTGAGAGACAGAGAGAAAGGTCTTCCTTCTGTTGGTTCACTCCCCAAATGGCCGCCACAGCTGGCGTGCTGCGGCTGGCGCACCGTGCTGATCCAAAACCAGGAGCCAGGTGCTTCCTCCTGGTCTCCAATGCGGGTGTAGGGCCCAAGCACTTGGGCCATCCTCCACTGCCTTCCCAGCCCACAGCAGAGAGCTGGCCTGGAAGAGGAGCAACCGGGACAGAATCCGGCGCCCCGACCGGGACTAGAACCCGGTGTGCCGGCGCCGCAGGTGGAGGATTAGCCTAGTGAGCCACGGTGCCGGCCCCAGTAAGCACTTTTATATAATGTCAGATGAAAGAAACAGGACCCCAAGGAAAAAAGAGAAAGAGAAAGGAAAAAGAAAAGAAAAGAAAAAAGAAAAAGGGGCCAGGTTTGGCTTCCTGCTTAGGATGCCTACATCCCATATCTGAGGGCCTGGGTTCGATTCTAGGCTCTGGCTCCTGATTCCAGCTTCCTGCTAATGCAGATCCTGGGAGACAGCAGATGATGGCTCAAGTGGTGGGGTCCCTGCCGTTCACATGGAAGGCCTGGATTGCATTCCCGGCTCCTCTTTGCTGGGAATCAGCATTTGGAGAATGAACCAGCAGATGGGAGAACATTCTCTCTCAAAAAACCAAAAACCAAAAAAACTCGGGTTTGCCAATGACTCGCTGGGTAATCCTAACTCAAAAATTAAGTGTTTCGTACAGATAATTCCCAAGGTCTCGTTCAAGGAAAATGCTTTGCTGCCAAATCAAGTTACTCTGTGGATGCCTGGGTAGAGATGATGTTGGGGATTGTGGGGAAAACTGCATAATTGCAACTATTCACAAGGATCAACTTTAGGCCGTATGAGGGTTTAAAATATGGTTCCTCAAGGTTCTGAAAATAACAGCAAAAAAACCCCAGGCTTTGCAAGATGAGAATGCTTTTCGAATGGGAGCCTTTCTAGAATGTTATTCTTCAATTGGCGCCCATACTGGATTCAGAAACTGCTCTGCAAAAACCGGCGCAGACCAAGAAGCCAGAATGGTTTCCTCTGCCACTCCCTGGATTCTGCCTACACCTCCGTTCTCTTAAACTATCCTGGAGCTTGACAGGGAGAGAAGGGGCTGATCCAGCGGTCGGCCAACTACACAAACGTTTGCACTACAACACGCAAAGATACCTCGGCCTGTCCCGCTCCGCAGCGAAAGGGACAGCCTGGCTCGGGCTTTCCACACCTCTGCTAAAGGTTAGAGAAAGAACGAGAGCCCGGAGCGAACGGGCTGGAAGTGCCCCGTGCAAGTATGAGTCCCGGCAACCCCACGATCGCTCCCATCCCAGGCTCCCGCGGAACCTACGCGTGCTGGCCGCATCTTTCCAGAGCAACCGCCCACCTCCTCACGCCCTTGGGAGCCACTGCCCTGCCCCCGCGCCCGCAGCAGTCAGCCCGCCCTGACCTCCTCGAACTGCTCGCCCGAGCAGCCAGCGCCACGAGCCTCCAGCAGCTCCCGGAACTGCTCCAGGGTGACGGACTCTTCGCCGCGGCCCAGCCGCTCTTCCAGCCAGCGCAAGAGCGCGCCGTGGTGCCTCGACACCAGCGACTCGCAGGGCGGCGTGGGTCGCAACGCAGCCGCTGCCTCTCGCAGCCGGGCCGGTTCTAGCAGCGCCGCGGCGGACGGCAGCGACGGAGCCGCGAGGCCCGAGCCGGGGGTCGTAGCCGAGTCCGCGGCCCAGTCCTGGTGCGGACCCCAGCCCTCACCCCCGGCGGCTGCCGCTTCGTCTTCACTGCTGTTACTCGTAGCGTTCCCCATGAGATCGCCGTCTTGGGCGACCGGCTCTGCCGCCGCCGCCGCCGCCGCCTCCCTGCCTCGACCTGTCAACCTCCGACAGCACCCGGCGGGCGGGGACGGGGACGGGGACGGGGAGGGGACGACGGCGGCGGCAGCGGCTTCCGGCTTCCTGGCCGTCAAGGCTGGGTTGCTGTCGCAAAGGCACCGTCAAGCGGACCGTACCAGCTCACGACAGCTAGGCGAGGGCTTCGGCCGCAGTGGATGGAACCCTCGGGATTTTTGTCAGGGCGCGTCTGTCATAGCTTCTACGTCATTCCGCAGCCGCCTTTACGGCCATCTTTGTTGGGGGCGAAGCTCCTACAAGGCAATGGTTTTCGTTGCTGTTCCGCCTGCTCGGCATCCCTCCACGTCCACAAGCTATGCTGGAAAAGTACCACGATGAGTCAGAACCAGGGAGTGAGTTTTTCGCCCAAGGGTGCGAACGTGGGCGTGTGTGAGTCGCGCTGGTGACGTCACGGCCGGCGTCCCCGCCATCTTGGCTGTGGGTAGAGAGGCGGAAACTTCGGAGGTTCGGCGAGGTTACGGCTGTCTGGATGCAGAGGCTCTGCGGGCGTGGGCTCTTGCTGAGCCTGGCGGTGGCGGCGGCGGCGGTAATGGCAGCGCGGCTAATGGGCTGGTGGCGTCCGCGCGCTAGCTTCCGCCTTTTCATACCGGAGGAGCTGGCTCGCTACCGGGGCGGCCCGGGAGACCCGGGCCTCTATCTGGCGTTGCTCGGCCGCGTCTACGATGTGTCTTCTGGCCGGAGGCACTACGAGCCTGGGGCCCACTATAGCGGCTTCGCAGGTATCGGCGAGGCGGCTGCCGCCTCGGCCTCCTTGGGCGCGACGCCGAATGCGCATCGTTCGTTTGTGCCGTTGTTTATTCCTGTGCTTCCTCTCCCCGTTCATACGAGCCCCCGGCGGGAGGGTCCCAGCTGCACCCTCCGCCAGCTCCGACCTCTACGCCGCCTCTCATTCCCCTGCGTGACCTACGTTCGAGAAATTTCCTCCTTCCTTTGGTTTGTGACCCCTCACCCACCGCCGGAAGTCGGGGGACACCGGCGTGGGCCAGGCCAATGCAGGGGTCCCCAGGGCGCGGACATGAGTGAGACCCGTCCCCGCCCTCAGTCCCCTAGCGATTCCAAGCAGCCCCTCAGTATGCCCCGATCTGAAGTCAGCGTTTCTTCCTCCGAACTCAGGGGTTTGAGTAGTTCTTGCTTGAAGTTCAGATGCGCTTGCGTTTCTTAGCAATGATGATGAGGTGAGGGCACAGGAGGGTGTGTGTGATCACGTTAACAGGCTTTTCATACTCCGAATAAAGCTGTGCATATGTTAGGCCGCGAAGAACAGTTGTCAGATGTGGTTTATTTTGCCCCCAAGAGGACTGAAAGATGTGACTTGTCCAAAGTCCTCACAGTGAGCACTGTGCGGCATGGACTAGGGCCGCCCGCAGCTGTAACGACCGGGGGACTGACCGTCTCCCGGGCTTAAAGGCAGGGGAGAAGCAGGGCGAGTGACCAGGCTGCTGTAACACAGCATTTTCCTTGTTATCTTAGAGGAATTGAGAAACCACCTTTGGTGTTTAAGTGCAAGTCACTTCCCTGTCGCCAGGGAAGACAGAAGCATGACAGAGAAGGAACTGAGTCCCCTGGGTCTTGACAAGCGTCAGCAAAAAGGCCCCCTCCCCCCACGCACACACCCTGAGCTGGAGCTGGGGTCAGGGTGTTTTGCACCTGTCCGTTGAGGGGTCCCACCATAGGCTGCTGCAGCTTCATGGAAGCATGCACAGGGTGGGTGGGCACAAAACCTTCCCTGCGGGCTGCTGTTTCGCTGCTGAATTCCTTCCCGTGTGCCCAGTGTTCATCCGGCATCCATTCACTGACCACTACGCTTCGTCCCACTTAGTGCCTGGTGCCGAGAAGTCAGAGATGTCTCCAGTGTGCTCCCCACCGCCACAGTCTGGCAGAGAAGCCAGTTATGTTTATTGGTTCATTCTGGGGTGGGTACGTACGTGTGATAAAAGTCACATAAAGTCTGCCCTGCCCTGGTACGTAATTCAGGAAACTTTGACAAACATTATTGTAAGCCCCAAGCGTTTTTATCACCCCACAGAGAAATTCCAAATCCATTAGCAGTTACCCTCATCGCCTCCCCACCACAGTCTCTGGTAACCACTCTCTACTCGATAGATTGGCCTGTTGCAAGCATTTCATATACACCATACACTTGTGCCTGGTTTCATTTAGCATAATGTTTTCAAGGTTCTTCCTTGATGTATTAGGATTTCATTCCTCTTTTATGGCTGAATAAGCTTCCATTGTATAAATACATCACCTTTTATTGGGTATTTCAAGAAGTTCATAGAAAATATAATAAAAAGATGAGTTTGTTTTGGTGCAAAAAAAAAATTGAGAGCCATGCATGGTTTTTTAATAATATATTTTTATGTTTTTTGAAGATCTCTGGAACGCACGGATTTCAAAACTTTTTGCACAAAAATAAACTTACCTTTTAATTCCATTTTCCATAAATTTGCTGAAGTATCCTTGTATGTATTAGTTGATGAAGTTTAGGGTTCCTACTTTTGCCAGTTATAAATAATACTGCTGTGAAATTTGTGTATAAGTTTTTGTGTGAACAAATGGTTTCATTTCTCCTGGGTGTATACCTAGGAGGGGAATTCCTAGGTCATATGGTAACCATGCAATGTTACCATGCAATGTCAACTTTTTAGGGTTATTTTCTAAAGTGGCTACACCATTATCATTCTCACCAGGAAAGAATTAGACTACCAGCTTCTCCACAATGTCACCAAAACTTATATTGTCCTTTATTATAACCGTACTCGTGGGTTGGAAGTGGGAGCTCACTGGGTCTTGATTATTTGAACTTTCCTAAAGCCTAATAATGTTGAGCATCTTTTCATATGCTTGTCGACCGTCTGTCTGCTGTGGAAAAATACCTGCTCAAATTCTTTGTCCATTTTTTTAAAAACAAGTTTGTCTTTTTATTGCTGAATTGTAAGAGTTCTTTATATATTCTGGATACTAGACCCTTATAAAATGTGTTTTTAAAATATTTTCCCCATTTTATAGTTTTTTTTTCTTTCTTGATCATGTCATTTGATGTGTGAAAATTTTCTACTTTAATAAGTTCATATCATCTGTCTTTCCCCCCTTTGGCTGTTTGTGCTTTTGGCATGCTAAGAAACCATTGCTCAACCCAGGGTCACAAAGAATTACATGTATGTCTTCTTTTTTTTTTTTTTTTAAGAATTATTTTATTTATTTGAAAGAATTAGATAGAGAGAGAGAGGTCTTTCATCCACTGGTTCACTCCCCAAATGACCACAACAGCCAGAGCTGAGTTGATCTGAAGCCAGGAGCCAGGAGCTTCTTCCAGATCTCCCACATGGGTGCAGGGGCCCAAGAACTTGGGCCATCTTTCACTGCTTTCCCAGGCCATAGCAGAGAGCTGGTTTGGAAGTGGAGCAGCTGGGACTTGAACTGGTGTCTGTATGGGATGCCGATGCCGGTGCTGCAGGCTGGGGCTTTAACCCACTGTGCCACAGCGCCAGCCCTAACATGTATGTCATCTTCTAAGAATTTTACACTTTAGCTGGCTCTTACAAGTCAGTAATTTGAGTTGATTTTTGTTTCTGGTGTGGGGTAGGGGTCCAGTTTCATTTTTTTGCATGTTGTCCTATTTGTTGAAAACCCTGTTCTTCCTGTCACTGAACTGCCTTGGTACCCTTGCTGAAAATCAGTTGGCTGTAAATGTTTGGACTTCTTCAGTCAGTGTTTATGGGGAATGCACTGAAGATCAAGTACTGTACCAGGTGCCAGGGAATTGGTATGAATGAGTTCGGTGTGTTCTCTTCCCTTATGAAACCTACAGACTATTAGAAAATACAACCAGTAAATGGGTATCGCACAGTTAATGAAATGTTTTTGTAATAAAAGTTAAAAGAAAAAACTGGCCGGCGCCGCGGCTCACTAGGCTAATCCTCCACCTTGCGGCGCCGGCACACCGGGTTCTAGTCCCGGTTGGGGCGCCGGATTCTGTCCCGGTTGCCCCTCTTCCAGGCCAGCTCTCTGCTGTGGCCCAGTAGTGCAGTGGAGGATGGCCCAAGTGCTTGGGCCCTGCACCCCATGGGAGACCAGGAAAAGCACCTGGCTCCTGGCTCCTGCCATCAGATCAGCGCGGTGCGCCAGCCACAGCGCGCCGGCCGTGGCGGCCATTGGAGGGTGAACCAACGGCAAAAGGAAGACCTTTCTGTCTCTCTCTCACTGTCCACTCTGCCTGTCAAAAAAAAAAAATAAAAAAGAAAAGAAAAAACTGATGTCACCAGTGGAGGGAGGAGAGGAAGAGAAGTGAACAGTGAACAGTGAAGAAAGTGGCCGTGCAGGGTTGGCGGCAGCTGGTCCAGGCGCTGTGTGGCATGGAGGAATTTGGACACCGTCACAGGGCAGAGGAAAGCCACTGATGGCTGTTTTTGGCAGTAGAGTGACACAATCAATTTGTGTTTAAAATATCTGCCTAAGGAGTGGGTGTTGTGGCACAGTGGATTAAGCCATCGCCTTGGCTGCCAACATCCGTCTCTGAGGGCTTGGGATTGAGTCCCCTTCCACCTCTGATCCAGTTCCTGCTAACGCGCTTGGGAGGCAGCGGAAAATGGTCCAAATACTTGGGTTCCTGCCACCATCGTGGAAGACCAGAATGGAATTCCTGGCTCCTGGCTCAATCCTGACTGTTGTGGGCATTTGGGAAGTGAACTAAGGAACGGAGGATCTCTCTCCATCTCTCTGTTGCTCTGCCTTTCAAATACACAAACAAAACTTTAAGAAAAATCTGCCTGAGAGATGTATGTGGACTAGGTGGTGGGGTAGGAATGCGTGTTGGGGCCTGCCAGGGGTCTGTTGCCGGGGTGCTGATGAGGCGACGGCAGGCCGGGCCTGCTCAGGGGTATGTGGAGGCGGGAGGACTGACAGCAGAGCTATTTGCTGAGAGAACTGAGGACCCGAGGATGGAGCTACAAGGACCACCGGCCTGGGTCGAGCAGCTGGTGGGCGTTCGCTGAGATAGGTGCTGTGTCCTGGGCTGGGCTTGCTGCTGGGCATTGGTTCCACGTGGAGGTTTGGAAGTTGAGATGTGTATGACAAGTAAGTGATGGGGAGAAGACGCTTGGATATGCGGGTCTGGTTGCTGGGAGAGGTCTGAACTAAAGATGCCAACTCGATGAGCCCCTCGGGCTGGAGACACTAGGGACATGGAGAGGTAGGAGGAGGACCTGGCACGCGGTGTCACGGGAGCCGTTGCTGGAGTGAATGAAAAAATGAGACAGATGCCAGGGAGAGGCTGCCTGTGGTCAGCAGCGTCTGTCACAGAGGAGAGGCCATTCTGTCGGCAGGAGACGGTTTTCGGGAGACAGATGTCTGAGTTGCGCACTGCCCATGGCTTACAGTCTAATCTGTTGGGACTGCCCTCCTGCAGGCCGGGACGCCTCCAGAGCATTTGTGACCGGAGACTACTCTGAAGCAGGCCTCGTGGATGACGTCTCTGACTTGTCCTTCTCCGAGATGCTCACGCTGCAAAACTGGCTCTCGTTCTATGAGAAGAATTATGTATTTGTTGGTAGGTAGGCCACAGGTCATTCCTGTGGGTTTCATTGGCTTGCTTTGCAGTTCTTTGTAAGGGGCTGGAATTCTTCAGGGATTAGACTCAAGGTTAAAATATGTAATTTTTTTTTTTCTAATTTGAGAGGCAAAGAGAGAGAATGTTACAGTCTGCTAGTTCACTCCCCAAATGCTTGCAGTGGTCAGGGCTGGGCTGGAGCTAAAGCCAAGAGCTAGGAACCCCATCCAGTCTCCCACGTGGGTGGCAGCAACCCAATTACTTGAGCCATCACCTGCTACCTCCCAGTGTCCGCATTACTAGGAAGCTGGAGTCAGGTATTGAATCCAAGCCTTCTGATGTGGGACTGTGGGTTTCTTCACCACCTCCTTAACCGCTGGGTCAGACGCATGCCCCCTGCTGTGGAATTCCCACTTTAAACCCTGGTAGTGAGTGAGGCAGTGAGCCCCAGAAGTACATGGGTAGGACACCTGTTTCTCTCTCTCTCAATCTTGGGAGAAGATTGCCACGCCGCTTGCTTTGGTCTCAGTTGCACAGAGGCAGTGGTGGCTGGTGCCAGCCTTGAACAGCCAGCCCCAGGAGGGCAGCTCCTTGCCTCACTGCGTTGGGGCTTCTGGCTTCAGCACGCAGCCAGGAAGGCTTGAACTCCTTCAATATGTGTTTTCCTCTGAGGAGAGAGGCCTCCTCCCGAGTGAACTGCTTCCACCCCTATAACACAGGTTACCTCCTCTGAGAACCTCTAGCACTTTTACCAGCCCCACCCACATCCAGCTGGTCCAGGCTGTTTTCATATCATCTAATAGTTTTAAGATGTATTTATCTGAAAGGCAGAGTGACACACAGAGAACGAGATCTGCCATTCCCTGGTTCATTCCCAAATGGCCACAATGGCTGGGACTGGGCCAGGCCAAAGCCAGGAGCTGGTGACTCCATCCGGGTCTCTCACATCGGTGGCAGCGGCCCAAGCACCCAGGCCATCTTCTGTTGCTTTCTCAGGCCATTAGCAGGGAGCTGGATCAGCAGTGGAGCAGCTGGAAAACTCGCTTGCTGCGCCCCAGTGCTGGCCCCATATCATCTAACGTGTACAGTGCACTCCCAGTCCCCACCTGGCCTCTTGCTGGCCTGTGTTGCCCTGATCGGCAGCACACCTTCTCTTATTTTCCTTAGTGTGCCCAGCTCCTTCCTGAGGCCATCGAAAGAACTCACCTCTGTCTATCTGCGCTTCAGAGCGCGTGGCTGTCCCCTGTCTCCAGGAGGTCACTGAATCAGCATTGAAACACTACTGGGAAAAGAAAGCCCAACACAAAGGAAGAGGAATGGAGTCCCACGAGGAAGGCCAAACACTTCGTACTGAGATTTGGGGAGCAAACTGGAAGTGTTTGGTGTGTGGGGTGAGGCAAGTGAACTAATCTCAATAGAACAAAGCTAAAGTGTTCCGGGAGGGTGGGGAACTAGGGTTGGAAATGCAGATTTGAGTTCAAGTAAGGACCTCTCTGAATGCCACCATGGATAAGTTCCGGTTCCAGGCCTTCTGGGGCCCGGGAAGGCTCAGCACAGCTTTTGCCTTCTGTTAGCGTGTCCTGAAGGCTGGAGGCCATGCCCGGCTCTTCCAGGTCCCCAGAAACCCGCAGGGTGTTGGGAATGAAGGCTTGTTGTTTTTTTCTATTGATTTATTTATGCATGCATACATACATACATACAGGTAGAGTTATAGACAGTGAGAGAGAGAGACAGAGAGAAAGGTCTTCCTTCCGTTGGTTCACTCCCCAAATGGCTGCAACGGCCACCACTGCACCGATCTGAAGCCAGGAGCCAGGTGCTTCTTCCTGGTCTCCCATGTGGGTGCAGGGGCCCAAGGATTTGGGCCATCCTCCACTGCCTTCCCGGGCCACAGCAGAGAGCTAGACTGGAAGAGGAGCGACTGGGACAGAATCTAGCGCCCCAGCTGGGACTAGAACCCAGCACCCATATGGGATGCCGGTGCCACAGCGGAGGATTAACCAAGTGAGCCACGGCGCCAGCCCCAAGGGAATGAAGGCTTGTTGTAAGAGTACATACTGTTGGGGGCTGGCACAGTAACATAGTGGGTAAAGCCACTGCCTGCAGTGCCAGCGTCCCATAGGGGTGCCAGTTCGAGTCCTGGCTGCTTCACTTCTGACCCAGCTCTCTGCTATGGCCTGGGAAAGCAGCAGAAGATGGCCCAAGCATTTGGGCCCCTGCACCCATGTGGGAGACATAGAAGAAGCACCTGGCTCCTGGCTTTGTATCAACCCAGCTCCAGCCATTGCAGCCATTTGAGGAGTGAACTAGCAGATGGAAGACCTCTTTCTCTCTCTCTTCCTCTCTCTCTCTTTCTGCCTCAGCCTCTCTGTAACTCTGCCTTTCAAATAAATAAATAAATCTTTTTTTAAAAGATTTATTTATTTATTTGAAAGGCAGAGTTACAGACAGTGAGAGAGAGAGACAGAGAGAAAGGTCTTCCTTCCATTGGTTCACTCCCTAAATGGCCGCCACGGCCAGTGCGCTGTGGCTGGCACGCTGTGCTGATCTGAAGGCAGGAGCCAGGTGCTTCCTCCTGGTCTCCCATGCGGGTGCAGGGGCCCAAGCACTTGGGCCATCTTCTACTGCTATCCCAGGCCACAGAAGAGAGCTGGACTTGAAGAGGAGTAGCCAGGACTAGAACCGGCGCCCATATGGGATGCTGGCACTGCAGGCAGAGGATTAACCTAGTGTGCCACAGTGCTGACCCTAATAAATAAATCTTAAAAAAAAAAAAAAAAAAGTTGGCACTGAGGTAAAGTCTGGAAGCTATTTTGGCAGCCACACCTCAGGCCTCAAGAGAAAATGAGATGCTTTTGTTGTGTACAGGATTGGCTTGGGGGTCCAGCCCTTGGTGACGGCCACTCCCATGACACAACTTCACGACTGCTTCCCTGTGGCCTGTACCACTGCTGTCCTCTCTTTGGGACTCACTGAATGCAGGGCTGCTGCGTAGTGGGCAGCTGTCCAGACAGCACGTGCATTGCAGGCGTGCAGCTAGGGCCCTGCACCCTTCCCTGATTCAGCGGACAAGGATTTAGAACAACGCTGGGTCCTAAGCTGTTTTGAGTGGTGGGCCTCACTCTTGGAGAGGCGTATCATAAACAAGGAAATGGTTCCGAAAACTCCAGACAGGACTGTGAATAAAACTGATGTGCTGCGTGTTTAGGGGCGTGTGGCACCTTAAGAGCAGATGGTAGCTAAGCTGGGAGCCGGCAGCCTCCTGGGAGCCTGGGGAAGCTTTCCGGGCTGAGGGCAGAGTGAGGCCTGGGTGGGGAGCAGTGAAGCATGGTCCAGGAACGGAAAGGAAATCGCAGTGCTGGAGCCTCGGGTACGAAACGAGGGCGTGGCCTGACAAGGCTGAGGAGGCGCACAGAAGTGAAATGGTACCCAAGAGGCCTAGTTGGAATTCTGCTTTGGGGCTGGCACTGTGGCACAACAGGTTAAACTGCCGTCTGCTGCACCGGCATCCCATATGGGTGCCAGTTCGAGTCCCAGCTGCTCCACTTCGGATCCAGCTCTCTGCTAATGTGCCTGAGAAAGCAGTGGAGGATGCCCCAGATGCTTGGGCCCCTAAACCCACATTGGATACCTGGAAGAAGCTCCTGGCTTTGGCCTGGCCCATCCCTGGCCATTGAGGCCATTTGGGGAGTGAACCAACAGATGGAAGATCTCACTGTGTTTCTCTCTCTCTCTCTCTTTAATTTTGACTTATAAACAAATAAATCTTTTATAAAAATCTGTGTTTCATTCACATGCTTTGGGACATCTTCAGACATGGACTTGACATGATAGGATTCCAGTTTGTTTTCAAAGTTTTACTTATTTGAGAGAGAGAGAAATTGATCTTGTATCCTCTGATTTACTCCCCAAATGCCCACAACAGCCAGGGCTAGACCAGGCCACAGCCAGGGGCTGGGAATTCCACCTTAGTCCCCCACACGGGTGGCAGGGACCCAAGCACTTGGACCACACTCCACTGCCTCCCAGGTACATTAGCAGGGCTCCACTGGCAGTGCACTCCAGGGTAGTGATGAGAAGGATGCTCTGGTACCCCTCTGGCGCACCGCAGCCCCGGGAGGGGACACCCTCGTCTGGGGTCTGGTAGGATGCTGCGAGACTTGGCATGCATGACAGCTGACGCCCCTCCAGTCCCTAATAAACCAGAGCCAGCCGGCCACTGGAACACTGAAGTCAGACACCTGGGTACCTTGAACTTCACTGCCCCTGCCCAAGGAGCTACGCGTGTGTCACACCTCACTCCCACTGTGTTCTCACCACAGGAAGGGTGATAGGACGCTTCTACAGTGAGGATGGGCAGCCCACCCCAGAGCTGACTCACGTAGAAGCCATGATCACCAAAGGCTTGGAGGCCAATAAACAGGAGTGGAAGGAGAAGCAGAAGTTCCCGCCATGCAACACCGAGTGGAGTGCGGCCAGGGGCAGCCGGTTCTGGTGTTCCCAACACAGGTACACGAGCTGCCCACCCCTCTCCCAGCCCAGACTCCCAGGCCTTCCCTGCGCACCATCCACTGAACCCAGGAATTAAGCCAGGGGACTGGTTGAGAACTCAGGTGCTGTGCACCAGGGATTCTCTGCTGCAGAGAACTCAGAAAGTTCCCTGTGGCAAACAGCTGTGTGACAGCATCGGCTCTGAGAACCCCCTGCCCCACTGCTTAAGACCTGGGGACCAGAAGGTGCCAGCACCGCTTCGTGCCTGCCTTGGCCTGTGTGGCCATCCACAGACCTTGATTTCCTGTTTTTATTTATTTATTTTTTTTAAGATTTATTTTATTTGAAAGGCAGAGTGACAGAGATGGAAAGAAAAAGATCTTCCATCAACTGGTTCACTCCCCAAATGGCCACAATGGCTGGGCCTGGGCCAGGCTGAAGTCAGGAGCCTGGAGCTCCATCCAGGTCTCCCACATGGGTGGCAGGGGTCCAAGCACTTGGGCTGTCCTCCAGGTGCATTAGCAAGTTGCTGGATGGGAAGCAGGGCAGCCAGACTGCAGCCATCACTGTGATACAGGATGCTCGCATCACAGGCAGTACTTAACCTGCTGCATCAGTCACTCCTGCCTGCGGGGCCTGGGGAGGTGGGAGGGACCCACGCCCTCCTGGTGCCTTACCTTGAGAGTACTGTGGCTCCTGAGAGTCCAGGCAGTGTGAGCCACATGGAAACATCCTTTGATGTCGGGATAAAGGGAGGTGAGCCGGGCTAGGAGTGATGCCTGGGGATCCAGGGGGGTTAGGCAGCTGAAGACATTTCCTGTCCTGGTCATCAAGCCAGGCTAGGCTGGAACTTCAGCCTGAGTCCCTTGGATTTCCTGTCGCTCTGCTAGGGGATGAAGGAAGCCAGAAGCTGGCCCCTGAAGGGCCTCACGGCAAGGTGGCAGGAGTCTGCTCCTGCTAACAGGAGCCGGGCCTCACCCCTAGGGCCACGCTCTGCCTCCATGCCCTCCTCCTCCACTCACTCACTGCGAGAGCAGGCAGGCCCACGCATCCCTCACATTGCCTCCGCCTTCATTCAGGGGAGCAGCGGGGAGGAGAGCCCCATCTTCCCTGGCCACCCATTTGGAACAGACACCTCCTGTGTCCTGTGTCTGAGCTGGTGGCTACCTGTCAGGAGGTGTGCCACCCCCCACCCCAGGCCTGTGTAGATGCTGTCCTCCCGCCCACAGCCCTCTGCCTGACCAGCCCCTCCCAGATCCTCCCCTAGAGCCCTTGGGGCCCTGTCCCTGTGCCTCAGCCCCGTGGGTGGTTCTCCACTCACATGTGTGTGTGTCTGGATGGTTCCCAACCGGGCGGAAGTGGCTCTGATGCAGGTTACCCTGCCTCAGGCTCTCTGCAGCCTCCATGAGGCTTCAGTTATCTAAATCTCATTTTCCTTTGGCGAGGCCTGTGAGTCTGAGAGGCCACGCCTAGTGCCCTGACACATGGGTCTCTCTGCCCAGGATAGGAGGTTGCTCTGCCTGTGTAGGGTCTCTGAAGCCTGGAGACACCAAGGACTGGCCCCATGCAGGGCCCCAGGCCACGAGATTCCCAGAACAGCCTGAGCCAGCTGGCCTCAGCTGAGGGCCCCCGACGTGCTATCTCAGTTGCCCAGTCCCCACCAGGTGCCCTAGGATCAAGTCCCAGCCTGCCCTGGGAGGTGCAAGGGAAGAGATGAGACTCAGCAGGGTGGGAAGTGCCTAGGGAGGGCCAGGGCAGGGCTGAGGGTGGGCTCCGCCCTCTGCCTGGAGAAGGGGTGTTGGTGTGGTGCCAGGGCAGCTGGGGCGGTTGGGGGAGAGCACGGAGGCCCCGGGGCTGAACACTGCAGACGCTGCCCCCGCACAACACCAAGACGGCCGGAGGAGCCGCTCTGCTTTTCCTAAGGCCTGGCTTGCCCCTTCCGCCTCTGGCTCCCGCTTTCTGAGTTGCCACCTTTAAGAAGTCTTCTTTCCTTGTGCTCTTAGTGGAGGGGTGAGCAGAGACTGGATTGGTGTCCCCAGGAAGCTGTATAAGCCAGGGGCCAAGGAGCCCCACTGCGTGTGTGTGAGAACCACCGGCCCCCCCAGTGAGGAGATGCTGGACAACCCCACCCACAGAAATCGTGGGGACCTGGACCACCCTGGCCTGCAGGAGTACCCAGGCTGCCCACCTCTGGCCATCACGTGCTTCTTCCCACTCTGAGTTGGCGCCCTCTGATAAAACATGGAGAACCCTGCCTAGAGATGCCCTGGGCGTGGCTCCTGGCGTGGAACAGGAGGCCCTGGGAGGACTGGTCACTCTGCAGACATACTCGGCCTCCTCCCCGCGGTGTGCCTTTCTGCTGAGTGGCGCAGGAGCTGGGCAGCGGGACTGGGCGCCTCCTGGATGCGCTCCCCTGGGGCCACTTGCCATCTTCCTTCAGAACCCCGCCAAGATGGCCACGTTGGATAACTGACCATCACGGGAGATCTGTGCTGCCTTCCCATAGGCTGCCTGCCCCTGCTGCTGGCCTGGGCCCTGCCAGGCGAGAGGGGGTCACATTCTTCCCCAGCCAGCGAGCAGAAACACAGGTGTCCCCCAAAGCCTTGAGGCCGCAGGGCACCCTGGCTGGATTCCCCGCTGGCTACACCTGTGACTCCAGCTCTTATGACCTTTCTCATAAGGAAGACCACGCTAAGGCAACGTGAATAAATCACCAGAAGTCCACTGGGTGGACAGGCCCTCCAGCGAGGGCTGCTGACACGGGCAGGCTCATGGTGGACGTGGAGCGCCTGAACGACGATGTCCAGCAAGGATGCTGCCCCTCGTTCAGACCCTTATCAGATGGGCTTGTCTTCAAAGGGAGAAGTCTGCGTTTTGAGCCAGAGGTGGTTCTGCGGCTCACACGAGGTAAATGGAGAGCAGCACGTCAGGTGTGGAACCAGACGGTTCCCACTTCCGGTGGCTGGGCTGGAGGCGCGGGACGTGTCTCCTACCCACCCCTCTGGAGTTCTCAAGTAGAGGGGTGGAGGGCTATCCCTTTATTTACTTATTTAAAATGAAGGGAATTCCTATTTTTGCCCCTCAGTTTATTTATTTGAAAGGCATACAGAAAGCTGAGATCCTCCATCTGCTGGTTCACTCCCCAGATGGCCACAATGGCCAGAGCTGGACCAGGCTGAACCCAGGAGCCAGGAACTCTACTAGGGTCTCTCATGTGGGAGGCAGGGGCCCAAGCATGTGGGCCATCTCTGCTTTCCCACGTGCATTACCAGGGTGCTGGATCAGAAGTGGAGCAGCCAGCACTCACGGGGTGCCAGCAGTGCAGACAGCAGCTTAACCCACTGTGCCACAATGCGGACTGTGTTCAGCTGTCGCCTAAGCCTTCATCGCTGCCCCTCTTCTGTCTTTAAGTATCCCTTATGCTTCCTCCACCCTCTTCGTCAGTATCACCAACAGCTTTCCAGATGCACTGGCCAGTCCCTCCACTGGTGGCTGGGCGCCCCTGGCCCATGCTGTTCTTACACCTGGTTCCGGCTCATGGCTGCTTCTGCCACCCCAGGGCCTTCCTCACCTCTAACCTCTCCCTGCTCATTCCTCCCACTTCATAGATAAAATGTTCCCCCTTAACACCCCTAGTTCTTCGTAGCTGCCCTGTGTACCTCCTACCACAGATGGCCCTCAAACACTTGGGCCGCCCTCCCCTGCCTTTCTCAGGCCACCAGCATGGAGCTGGATCAGGAAGTTGAGCAGCCAAGACATGACCCACTCTGTCACGGTGCCAGCCCCCACCGGCTTAGCCTCCCCCATCTCTGCGGTTCAGCCTCCCTGCCAATAGCGGGACACGTCCTGCCCTGGCAGCTCCTGTGGTTGCTTCGATTCTCCCCTCCATCTCTTGTACGGGACCCCGTTTACCACGAGGTCCTCCCTAAAAGCTCCCCTTGGGCTGGTCCTCATCTCCCTTCTCTGGCCATTCCTTTTCGGCCTTCCTGAAGCTCTGCCCGCCACACACTCCTCCTGTTGGCTTTTCCCTCCTTCCTCAGCACCTGGCCTGCCCACCTGCTACTCCAGGCAGCTCTCCAAGGCGGTCCTGGCCTTCCGTCTTCATCTTCCCCTCCAGCGGGCCTCCCACTTCTCCACCGGTGGCACCACTGTCCGCAGTGCACCACCGAGCAGGCAATCCCATGTCCCCGGCAGCCAAGTCCAGGCCACCCCACCTCCGGGTTCCCTCCTTTCCGTCCCCTCTGTCAGCAGTGCTGCACTCTGAGCGAGGCTGTCGTGTCCCACCTGCAATGCTGCACTCCAGCGAGGCATCGTCCTAAGGCTCCTGGGGGCTGCCTCTCTGTGAGGGTCAAGTCCCAGCTCTTAAGCCCCTGGGCGGAGGATGCCCTTCCATGGCCGCCCCTCCTTTCCCACAGGCTCTTAGGCCGCTCTGTCAGTCCACCTCCCAGGTCCTGAGACTGCAGCCCCCCAGCTGCGTCCCGAGGCCCGTTCCCTCAGTTGGGGCAGCACTTTGTGTTCGCTCCTCAGGGTCCTTCACAGTGGGGGTTTTTTTCTTCTTCTTTTTTTAAAGATTTGGGGCCAGCACTATGATGTAGTAGGTAAAGCTGCCACCTGCCCATGTGGGCACTGGTTCCAGTCCTGGCTGCTCCACTTCTGATCCAGCTCTCTGCTGTGGCCTGGGAAAGCAGCAGATGGCCCAAGTCATTGAGCTCCTGCACCCACATGGGAGACCTGGAAGAAGCACCCAGCTCCTGGCTTTGGATTGGCGCAGCACCAGCCGTTGCGTACGCGCGTCTACTCTGACTGTGGCATGAGGAGCTGAGGCCCAGGCTCCTTGACTCCTGCCTCAGTGCCCTTTGCTGCTCTGTACTACTGTGGGTGAACGCCCAGCCTACCTGCACCAGTCGTGACCGGGACTGTTCACCTAAGGATGACAACTACAGTGACTTGAAGGCCTGGAGTTCAGTGACTGAGGCTTCCGCCAATGACCCTAACTAGAAACTAGTCATTGCCACTGTGCTGGCCAACGGCCAGGGCAGCCTCTGACCTCAAGGAGCTCATAGTGTGGTGGAGTAAACCCTGGTTGGAGCACCCAGAGGCCATTCTTGAAGCAGAAATTCAGGGATGGTGTGCAGGCCAGCTCCAGAGACGTCCAGGCCCTTGCCAACAGACAAGGAGCAAGACGGAGCTTGCCGTCACTGCGGCCAGGTGCACACTCGGTAGTGCCTAGAGGGGCCTGGGCTCGCTGCAGACCCTCAGCCGGCCTCGGGAGCTGCTCAGTCCCTTGCTTGATGAGAATCCATTTTCTCTTCGGTGCTAACACTTTAGGGGAGTCAAAGGACTCAGCAAGCATGGGCATCACTGTGAAGTCAAAGGCTTCCCACAGAGGTGGCCTGGGGCAAATCTGTGGAGGGGTGGGCGCCACAGACAGTGCATCCAAGGCTGAGCCTGCAGTCAGACCGCTCGTGGAAGGGCAGGGAGAAGAAAACCGACACCTGTTGGGCGACTGTGCCAGGAGCTTTGTTCTCACTTCATGCCCGTGCTGGCCCGGGGAGGTCTGACGGAGCCCTGTCAGGACAGCGCTGAGCTTCCCCCAGGTCTGAGCTCTGCCACACCAGGGAGTAGTGGCCAAGCAAAGGCTGGACCTCCGGAAGGGCCTCGCCACAGCTGCCTGTGCATCCCGAACTGCTGCTGAGGAGCCGGAGCTGGGGTTCTGCCTCCGCCCCGCACCCCCATGCCTTGCACGCTTTCTCTAGGAAAAGCTACTCCCTGAAAACTCGGGCCCGCAGACCAGCGTGGGGCTGCGCTGCTCAGGAAGCGGCACGTCAGAGGAAGGTCGCGGGCTGCACCCCACCCTTGAGAGCACTTCATAGTGCCAGGACAGACACCGCGGATCCTCTTTGGTTGCTCCTAGCTAACAGCCAGGGAGCTGGTTTCCAGGTCTTTGGCGAATGGAGGCCTCAGGGCACCAAGACTCTGCATCTGCAAGCTCCAGCCTGGGCCAAGGGCACAGCAGCCGCAGCAGCTGCTTCTCCGCTCACCGTCCGTCTGAGAACTCTGAACCCAGATTCACTCACTCACTGGGAGTTGTCTGTTTTTGTTTAATATGTTGATTTTAATGCTTACTGGTACTTCTGCATTAGCAGTGACTACAAATATCTTATTAAAAGTCTCCACTTTAAATGCACAATTTTGCCTCATTTTATTACAAGGAATTGTTACAGAAAATGCAAATACCAGTACTGGAAAAATATACATTCCATTCCATGGACTCCACGCAAACACTGCTGTTAAGCGCCGTGGTCCCTCAAGATGCATCCCCGCACACCAAGCACCACTCCGACTGGCTGCGGGCTGCACAGGTCAACCCTGTGTGCGCCCACAGCTGCTGCCCGGCCCTGCACGTCTGCCCACCCGGCGTGCAGTGACTCAGGACTCCCTAGCTACGGAAGACCACCGCTGTCAGGTCTAACAGGTTAGTATGCTATTTATGCCGCACAGAGGACGTGCACACGCAGGGATCTCCGAGAAAGTCTTTAAGGCATCTTGAACTTCTGGAATTGAAGTGTTTACTTTATTCCTTGTCAATACGCTCCACAGAGTGAGCCTGGGGCTTCCAGATCCCTGCCTGCGAGTGGGAGCTCCAGCGCTTTGGGAGGTTCTCGTGGGCTTGTCGGGGGAAACTGAGTCTCTGTGATGGAAGCGTCACGTGTACTTGCTCCTGCTCTGCCACCTGGGCAGCTGCCTTTCAGGTCTACACATCACACAGTTCAAAAGTGTTCTTTTTCTCCAGATAAAGGACACCTGGGTGGAGGTAGAGGCCCGCCTCCCTCCCAAGACCTCCCCTCCACTCCATGCTCACGGCCACATTAGTGCGGCGACGGCTCAGGACCACAGGTGTGGGACAGTTGTTGGGAAGACCTGTGGACCCACATGCACGCTGGGCTCCACGCAGGGACCGCTCAGGGAGAAGAGTGAGGAAGCTGAACGGGGTGGTCAGAACGACTCGGGCTCTGAGGTAGAGGACTACAGGTCATGTGGACCGCACTCATTGGAGAGAATGTGGCAGGTAACCAAGCAACCTAATCCAGACTCGACTACTGGTAATTGGGCTGACGACGCACAGGCAAGGACTTCAGATGTAACACTAACACGTCACGTAGTGAGACACCACTGAACGACAGCTGGAAACCAGAGTCCTACGTGTAGGCACTTAAGTTTGTGGGACGTCAGTGTGTTCGAGGATCAGAACTTCATTTAACCCATTCAATCTCGTCAGCAGTCAGTGGCTGGGACTCCGTCTTTAAAGGGAAAGGCCTGTTAGGAGGGCACAGAGGAGCGGGAGGCAGTGCAGAATCAAATTCGGCCCAACAGCGCCGACTGGCGCGCAAGTCCCGTCTCAGAGAAGTTGATTCTTCCTGCGCTACGCACTGACAGCTGGCAGCGTTCCAAAGGAGTAAAACAGCTTTGGCTACCAGTACTTAGGCTGCTGATTAAAACTGCCCGAGGACAGCTAGGCAGTGTGGTGGTCAAGTCTTGATGGCATGGAGCGCACGGAGGGGACTCGGAGTGTGCCGAGGCCCAGCCAGGGCAGTGACGGGCGAGTCCACCCCGGGTGCCACTCGGGGAGCTTCAGCGGGGGCGGGAGAGTTCCTAAGACTGGAGACACTCCTTCACATCTGCCTGAAAGCACCCTGACGCCAACGCAGGATGTAAGAAACGTTTTCCCAGTCCGTGCTGCTCAGTACCATCGCTGTCTGCACGCTGCAGACACAGAAGTGCGAATCCACACTCACACGTGATCCTCAGGTGTTCCGTGCAATGAGGCAAGGCGCGAACACTGGCCTCCTCCCTGACTGGATTCCACCCTCCCTCATCCGCAGGGAGCGGGAGGAGAACGAGCAGGTAGGTACTGCGCACCTCAGTTCCCGTCTGAACCACAAGACTCCTACTCTACAGGACCGAGCTACCTAAGACCAATTCCTGTGGCCTTTCCACACGACAGAAAGTGGAAACTGATCGCATGCCTCGTGGGACCAAGTGTTTGCCAAGATTGGTTGTTTTTCTATAAAAATTCTATGTGACTTACGTCACAGCCCCCGCCCGGGGGGGAGGGGCTCTGCTAATTACTCTGCTTTTAAACGTACACAAGCTCATATTGACATAGAAAGCAGGTATATCTTATAAATCACAGAATTACATCGAAAAGTAGCACTCTGATCTATCAGCTCATTTTACACATATTTAGGCAACAGAAATATCAATGTACGACAGTGTGGAGGACACACCACTATCCAAGACAGACAGAAACAAACCAAAAACACAGGCTATTGCAAACAAAAAGTTAGTCCCTTTTATGCATGAATCCATATTTCATTAATGCCAAAAATGTAGTGGTTATTAAATGTCTTAAAAAATCAGTATGTATGATTCAGATTATTAATCTCTGAGTATAACTAACAAATTATTCATCTCAGAGTTTGTTTTTAAGAAAAGCATTGGTAAAAGTTTCTCACTGTGCATTTTTAAAAACTGGCCAAACCTTCAACAGAAATCAAACACTTCAGGGTTCACGTGCGTCCTAGCAGCGGCTAGGCCCAGCAAGTTCTGGAGGCCTCGTCAGCAGCCAAGCCCGAGTTCCCACGGGGCTGAGCACGCTTGGCCAGGGCTGTCGGCTGCTGCCTCTTACAGCGTGAGAGGGGAGGTGTCAGCAAGAACCACGTGTGTCAAGGAGACGCGGCCCACAAGCCTCCAGCCTGAGGCTGCAGATGCCCCGGCACTGAAGTCTTCCCCACCCCCTCCTCCTCGCCTGCTCCAGAAGACACCGCAGGGGTCTTCCCTTTAAGATCAGTGTGAGCTGAGGTCCAGTCCAAGCTGAGCGTTAGAATCGCAGGTGCAAGGACGGGTGGGGCTGTTTCTGAATATGGATTTTTAAGTTGGGGTCACCAATGATGCAGCTATGTAAAAAGTGCAGCACAATCAAAGTGCATTTCCTCCACCACTCCACCGGCAGAGTGGCCGAGGACTCGGGGCGCAGCGAGACCAGGGAAGGAGACAGCGCCCGGAGATGTCTGGCTGCCCAGCCGCACCTGACACCTCATTCGCATGAACACCGGTAAAGCTTTCAGTTGTTAAGGCCACGATTTTTTAGCTCTCATCTTTGAACCCTGTTTAGAAAGATTTCACCTTTTTAAAAGGGGTAGCTCACTAAAAAATACAGCTTAGCTTAAAAAACAAAAAAAGACTCCAGGGCAGAGGGTCCTATTTCCCTCGAAAACACTGTGCAGAAAAGCCCCCAGCCACCAGGCCCAGAGGAGAGCCAGCTCTCGGTAAGCCGCCAGCTTCCACTGTTAGGCGCTGCCTGGGGCGGCAGCCAGGCAGGAAGACGTTATGGACGCTCGGAGATGCACACTAGGCTGCTAGAAGGGAGCGTGGGCTCAGTGTCGTTGGATGCTGCTAGCAGGATGGGTCTCATTGCTGTCACATTCACCACTGAGGCTACATGGCCTGGTCCAACCGTGACACTGAGTGAGTTTGGTCGCAGTCTGACACACTGACAGTCATACCGAATCATCTGAGATGGGGTCACGCCGTGGTCCTCAGCTGTCCAGTCTATTGCTGCAGGAGGATGACGCCAGCTCCTGCTCTGGGTGGGGGCGGGCTGGTGAGCAGAGCAGCTGCTGGGGAGGGGCGGAGGGCATGGCCCGGACCCTCCCGGGGGCTCACTAAGAGACCCCACCCAGAGTCAGCACGTCAAAGCAAATGTTGCAAACACGCACGGGCTTGTTGAGATCGAACTTTATAATGGGAATCTCCTTGGTCGAGCATTTATGGCACAGAAGACGTCCGCAGTGACGACTGTGGGAGCAAAGAAAGAAGCGTGAGGGCAGGCTGTGAGCGCCTGTGCCAGCCGCCAGCATGGCTGTCAGTCCACGGAGAAAACAGAACTCCAGCCATGACCGAGTTAAAGTGATACTGAAGAAGACTTGTTTCAAAGATCACGAGCAGCTCAATGCTAACAGAAGAACTGCTTGGTTCGAATGGGAACAGCTCGGCAGTTCTCAGCAGGAAGCCCAGCGATGAGGGCGCCCTGGGACTCCCTGCGACTCCCTGGGACTCCAGCAGGAGGGCCGCCAGCCTGCGCCCCCCGCCACTCCATGTGGTCATGTTCCGCCCAGGAGAGTTGGGGCTCTGGCAGGCTCATGCTTATCATGGAAAAAGGCAGAAGCAGTGACACGAGAAGCCCCCTCGGGCTCTTACCAGTGATGCTTGCGAGTCGTGACGCCAAACTTGGCGGTGCACTCGTAGCAGTTGGAGCCATCGCACCACGGAGGCTCCTTGGACAGCATATCTGCAACACACGGGAGGGGCCCGGTCCTGTCAGCCGGCCTGCACCGGGCGAGACAGCTCAGAGGGAGCAGCAGCCCAGAGCGCCAGGAGGGATGAGGGAGCACTCCAGCTGGCTCACGGAGAACAGCAAGGTGGCCGTGAAGAGCCAGCGCCGCCCGCAGACGCGGCTGGAAGGCAGTGACGTTTTGGGGGCGCAGCAGCAGTGTGTGGGGGACTCACAGAGTGGGGGCAGCTGGAGGGCGCAGACCACACAGCCACAGGGAACACAGAGGAGGGGACCAAGACGAGAACCCGAGCAGCAGGATCTTTAGGACGTGGTGACTGAACAAGGGGCGGGATGTGTGAGGCAGGCAGGGGGTGGGGGTGGGGGCAGGAAGGAGACGCGGGTAGCTCCTGACTCCCGGCTGCGTGTGCGGCGGGCCCTGCGGTGGCGGGACAGGCGAAGGGCGAGAACTGCTGCAGCGAGCAGCTGCACTTGCGCGTCTCGGCCGGCGGCCAGCAGTGCAGTCTCCGCTCTGACGGCCCGCCAGGCACTGCTCTCACCGCTCTCTGCGCGGAAGCAGACGAACTCACGGGACGGGAGCGCGAGTCTCAGCCACGCGCGTACCTGAGCCACCAGCACTGCGAGCCCTGCCCTCTAATGCTGGCTCCACCACGAACCAGCCGCACAGATCACCTGGCTACAGTGGTTTCTGACTCATTTCTGTGCCTGTTTGTCTTCCTGGGTGACAAAATGGCACAGGCAGGCAGAGGTACCCGAGGCCTTCGGATTCTTTCTGTGGGGAGGGGGAAGACTTGCAAACATGAAATCCTCAAGAGTAAGGCGCTGGCAGGGGCACGGCGAGTTAAGCCACCTCCTCGGACGCCAGCATCCCATATCGGAGTGCGGGTTCGTGTTGGGGCTGCTATGCTTCCAATCCAACTCCCTGCTAGTGTGCCTGGGAAGGCAGTCGAAAATGGCCCTTTGGCCCCTGCCACCCATGTGGGAGACCCAGAAGGAGTTCCTGGCTCTTGGCTTCTGCCGGACCCAGCCCCAGCCGTTGTGGCCACCTGGGGAGCAAACAAGCAGAATAGAAGGAAGCTTTTTTTTTTTTTTTTTACAGGCAGAGTTAGACAGTGAGAGAGAGAGAGAGAAAGGTCTTCCATTTTCCATTGGTTCACCCCCCAAATGGCCGCTACGGCCGGCGCTGCGCAATCCGAAGCCAGGAGCCAGGTGCTTCTCCTGGTCTCCCATGGGGTGCAGGGCCCAAGCACTTGGGCCATCCTCTACTGCCTTCTCAGGCCACAGCAGAGAGCTGGCCTGGAAGAGGAGCAACCGGGTATAGAATCCGGCATCCCAACCGGGACTAGAACCCGGGGTGCTGGTGCCGCAGGCAGAGGATTAGCCTAGTAAGCCGTGGCATCAGCCCTGCTCTCTTTCTTATTCTACCTCAGATGAATGAATCAATGAATGAATCAATCTTAAATAAATAAAGAGACCAGGGCACTCGTGCCTGCGGCGGCGAAGGGGGGCTGGCGGGGGACTGAAGGGGAGGTCATTTAGGAGACTGCAGACAGGACCCGTCAAAGGCAGGCTGCTGCAGGAGGCATGGAGGTGCTCTGCTTGGAGCTTGTGGATTTCTGGAAGGTTCAGGGAACATGAGAAGCTGACAAGGGCCCCAAGGCAGAGTGCTCTGGAGTCTGCTCAGAGCAGCTGCCCGGCACTGCTCGGGGGCCCTCTGCGCGTTCACAGCGCCATCACGTCCGCGATGGGGCCTGGAGACGCATGCAGATGACTAGCAGGGAAGGAGACGTGCACAGCGGCAGGCCACTCACCTAACAGTCGGAACAGAAGCTGCTTGGTGGCGACCTGGTAGTTGAAAATGTTGACTCCCTGGTTGTTATTCACCCCGAGGCGGGCCCCGGCCCGGACAATGGCGCGGCACAAGTTGGCATTCCCTTTCATGTACGCTAAGAGGAGCACTGTGAAAGAGAGCCACAGCTGGGGCGACTTCCCGCCAAGCGGGTCACCAGGCAGAACACTCATTAGCAACATGGCCCGAGGCTGTGGAGAGCCCTCCCCAGGGGACCACAGCGTGCTGCCCAGCTAGAGCAGCAGGCTCGCCCCTTCCTGTGCAGATCTGTGGCTCCAAGAGAACGGAGGTGAGGACCTGATATGGAGAGAAAGAGGCTGATTCCTTAGCTGCTTCCTCTGGCATAAAAGGAAAACAAAGTTCTTCCTCTCAGTGTACCTCAGCCTACAGATCTGTGAGCTGTGTATACTGAGAAGATAACAGTGCGGGGAACATGTTCCAGAAAGTCCTTCCACCCCGTGGCGCCTCCCCTGTGCACAGGTGCAGGCCCAGTGGGAACCGAGCTCTGGCCAGGCCCTCCCCTGGCCTTCCCTACTTTCTTACAGCCAACTGTGGCTCCCCACCGCTCACCTACCAGAACCTCTACCTAAAATCTTCCATTTTTACTCAAAACGACGCACTAAGATGAAGGTAATTATACCACGAAATGAGGAAACGGGCGTGGAAAGGTTAGCAAGTTTAGCCTGTCACCCTGCTGCAGTGTGACGGAAGCAGGCATCTGAAGCCAGTTCGGCAAATGGCCAGCCCAAACGTGGTGCCCCGGCCCTCTCCCGCCTGGTTACCAACACCTGGGAAGTGATGCCCCCACGCGTGCTGGCCCTGCAGCTCACCCCCAGAGCTGACTCCTCTGATGCTCGGGTTCATCACTGCCAACTAAGCAGCAGGCTTGTGTATGAAGGCCAAGAACTGGCCGATGAAATACTTGGTTTCGTAGTGGCTGCATGTCCACCGCAGGCCAGGGAAGCCGGGTCTGGCCTGAGAGTGAACGAGTGCGAAGACAGCGGCAGCCAAGGCTCTCTGAGAGAACCACGTGCTGGTGACAAGGCAGACCAGGTTTCCATGCTGGAAACCGAGGCCCCGGCTATGCGCATGGCTTCCCTCACAGGGCTAGTATGAGTGTCCCACCAGAAGATGAAGGCTCCACAAATGAGCATGGAGACCGTGGGTACCTAGAGCAGAATTCTGAGAGCCCTGTCGGCCAGGCTCCTCAGCCGGGGTCAGCGCGTGTCTGCAGTGTGCTGCCTCTTCAAAGCACATCAACCCATACTGAAACACGGCCCCTCCTGTGACTCCCCTGGGGGGCAATTCTGTTTTCTCTGCTGGAATTTGGGAGCTTGGGTAGGGCCCCAGGAGACCGGACGAAAGGCAGATGAGGGCGCTGAAAACAGAGGGATGGGCCTGTTTGGACATGGGTCTGGCTGCACGCTGTGCATGGTGGCCCTGCTCAGCCATTCCAGTCCATCACAGAGACGCAGTGTGCCAACTGCTCTCAGATAATGACAGAAGTACCCGGGCTCTTGTTGTTCCAGGAGGCAAGGCACCAAGTGAAACACCTCATCCCGTACCTGTGTTTCCTTCTGCATCTGGCTTATCCAGAGGATACTCGGGCATGCACTCCAGGAAGAGATCAAAGATGGCTGCCGCGTTCTCTTTGCCGTATTGCCCCAAAATGTGCAGCGGCGACTGGCCTCTGTTAAACAAGTTGCAAAGTTGAGTGGGTACGCAGCAAATATTGCCATGGCCGTCATACCCGGAAGAGAGGACACAGAACAGGTCACACAGGTTTTCCTAAAGAGTGGTCTGGTCAGGGTGCCAAGAGCTTGTCAAGTGCTGTAGTGGCGGGTTCTGCAGCCCACCCCTGGGGCGGACGCGGGCACCTGCGACCACCAGCTCTGGGCAACAGGCCTGGTGATGTGCAGCCCTGGTCCCCGCACAGCTCCAGACACACTCACCTGAGATTAAAGGCTTCGGCGTCCACTGTGCACTCTGTCAGGAGAACCCGGATGTTGTTGAGCCGCCCGTGCGTGACGGCAAGATGAAGAGCTGGGGAGTAAATCCTCTTAGTGCGCACGCTCAGAGGGACACGCGGGAAAACCGCCACTGCTCGCCCTCCCAAACCTCCCTCGAACAGCAGGGCTGCTCGCTGGCACGGCCGAGCTTCTCAGCGTGCACCACACCCCAAGCAGGAGTCGCGGCTCCAACGGCAGGAGCCTCCGCTTCCTGCTTTCAGTCGGCCTCTCCCGAGCAGCCCGCATCCGGCTGAGGACAGCTCGGCAGCAGGCTGGCTGCACGGCCAAGGGAGGCCAAGGGCACTCCCGGCGCAGCTCTGCTCCTGGAAGAGCCCGTCTCCCCAAAGGGCCGCAGGGCGCCCCACCCGGCGCGCAGGGGCTGCCTGAGGCGTGGCCGCGAGTTACCGTTGTTCCCGTTCTCGTCCACAGCGGCGAAGTCGACTCCGTTCTCCAGGAGCACGGAGCAGATGGTGGGCAGGTCCTGCTGGGCGGCGAGGTGGAGGGCGGTCTGGCGGTGCTTGTTCAGTTCATTCACCTTGGCTCCTGCAAGAAGCTGTTGAAGTCCATTCCGTGAGCGGCTTCTCTCGCAAGTCAAGGCGCCCCTTGAGGGGCCCCACTCCGCTGGCTGAGACGGCGCAGAAGGAGCCTCAGAGAGCCGTGGAGGGCACAGGGCAGCAAGCCCCGGGCCGTCAGCCAGCCGCTCTCTGGCTTTGGCGTGAGCGACTGCATCGCGGGCAGTGATGCTCACCGCGCTCTAAGTAGGAGGGCCGCTGCTTGTGACCGTGAAAGCCAGCGGGATAAAGGACTCGACACTCAGACAACAGGACACGGAGCCAGGAAGGGGAGAAACACGCATGGACTACCACGGAAAGACATCAACGGTACAGTAAGTTAAAAAGAAACAGGCAAGGGTTGGAGACAGCTAGAAATAGGTCCCCCCCCCCCCCACACACACACAAGACACACACACAGAGACATAGGTATGTGAACACAGAAGCAGACACGGGTTTCAAAGATGTTTAAAAACCTAACAGTTGTGTGCTTCCTATCAGTGTTTCAGTCAACAGTGGGCCACGACCGTGACGGTGGTCCCAGGATGACACTGGCAGTGACAGCCATCTTAGCTGGCCTGAGCGTACCCAGATGCTCTCTCTGTCACCAGGGCACACGTGAGGACAGTCAGGGGTGAGAGGGCGGCACCGCTCTGTGCCCTAAGTTTGTCCACAATGGGCATGTACTGTTTCATATTATTTTTTTAAAGAACACAAAGAGCTACAGACTGCAAGGCAAGAGGATTTTTAAACAATATCTTGTCTTTTCACATAGCATTTCAAGTTCATCATCCACTTCTTGTTGTTTTTAAAGATTTATTTATTAGTCTGAAAGGCAGAGTTACAGAGCGAGGAGACGGGGCATTGTGGAGGGAGGGGAGGAATCTTCTATCTGCTGGCTCACTCCCCGAATGGATGCAATGGGCAGGGGGCTCGGCCAGGCAGATCGAAGATCTGTCTGCCTCTGTCTCCCTCTCTGTTACTCCGACATTCAGATAAATTCATTTAAAAATCTTTGAAAAAAATGTCCTAGACCCATCTGTGGTGCTGAGAATCAGGAGACAGCTCACTTGAAGTGCTGGCTGAGTGCCTGACTGCAAGAAGGCAGATGACAGGAGGAGGTCGCCGCTCCCTGTGTCTCCCACCTGCCCTGGCCCGACTCCAGCTGGGCCTGCTGGGCACCTAAGACACGCCACTGCTGACACATGTGTCCTGAGTGCTCTGGCCGAACTCCCCAGCACCTGGCAGAACACCTGTGGCACGAAGGTCCACACAAGTTGCCCGAGGCATCTGTTCACATGCAACATGCGACCATACTGGTGTCACTCACCAAATTGCGGACAATAATCTCTGAGCCCGCCTGGACAGCCAGGTGTAAAGGGGTCAACTTGGAAGCATCCTGCACTCTGGAATTCACGTTTGCCTGGACACTGATCAGGAACAGGACACTCTCAATGTCCGAGTTCTGAACCGCCACGTGAAGGAAATTCCGGCCCTTGTTGTCGACCTAAGGCAAGAAGTGGGAACCAAAACACGAGTGGGCTCCTGCTGGGTCACGCCTCCTGGCGCCTGTAAGCCACGGAGACCAGTGCGGAGGTCAGGATGTAGACGCCCCGAAGCTGTCGCCCCCTCGCACACATACAACAGACCCACTCTGTGAGCGCCACCACGTCTGTGTGGTCGGGGAGGGTGCTCCTGGCCGACCCGATGCCTGGCATCGTCCTGCAGAGGGAACCCGAAGTGGAGAGCCACAAGAAGACAGGGAGACAAAGGCCCCGCCTGGGCCTGGCTGCTCGGGAGCAGGCAGAGGTGGACACTACCTGCAGTCTACCTGGCCCCCGCAGACAGCCCACAGCCAGGCCCCATGGGATTCAGCAGCTGGAGAGGGACGGTAAAGGACAAGGACCACAGGGCCTGCTGAGCTGAGCAACCGCCCTCCCAAAAACACCTGCAAGTTGCCCCAACCCCACAACACAGCTACCTGCGTTCAATTGCAATCTTTCAGACATTCATGCCTACAGCAACTAACGAACCAAGCAAAACCAAAGCACAGACTCAGGCGGTCCAGCCCCAGAGCTCCTACCGCCAAGCCTGGCAGCCTCCCCGCTCTCCTAAGTGCCTCATCCTCCAGGGACTGGCCCACTGGCAGGGCAGTCAGGAGTCCGGAGAGGCCGAATTTCAGGAAAGGGGAGCGCAATTTCGAAACAGACCGCTTGGGACAGGAGGACGTGCAGCCGGTGACATCGGCTCAGGCTCCACGTGACGGGGTCTGCTGCGAAGGATGTGAGGCGTCAGCCCTCACCTGCTCAGCGGCCCCAGACTCTCGTTTGAGAATGGCCTCGGCGGCCTTGTTGTTCTTGTACGTCATGGCACAGGCGAAAGGGGTCAGCCCCTGTCTGTCTCGGACGTTCAAGTGGATGTCAGGATGAGAAATCAACAGCTGAATGATGACGCCGTGCTGGTTGCTGATGGCCACGTGGACAGGCGTCCTTCCTTCTGCATCCTATAGGGACAAGCCAGAGCGTTCAGCGTCCAACTGAAAGATGAACTTTAGGAAAAATATAAAGGGGGTACTCTTTAAGTCAATCTCTGTTATGAGAATCCACACCGCCACCCTGCACTCGAAACGTTTCTGACATGGCCAGACACAGGGGAGACTGGAAGCCCCTCGTCACCGCGCCGTGCTGGCAGCCCGCAGGACCTGCACTGCCTCTCAGCTCCGGCTCAGACACTCCCATCACACAGAAACCTGCGCAGACCAGGACACTGAAAAGCATCAAGGAACATAACTCACGGGGCAAAAACTGAGTTACTGGAACATTTTCCTAAACAAGGTACTCAGTGTGGGACTAAACCAACTCCTAATGGAAATCCTAAAGAAAAATAGGTAAGGGGCCGGTGTTGGGGTGCAGTGGGTTAAGCTGCCACTTGTAATGTCAGCACTCCGTATCAGAGGGCCAGCTTCCTAATACTATGCCTGGGAAAGCAGTGGAAGCTGGCCCACATGCTTGGGCCCCTCCACCCACATCGGAGACCCTGATGGGGTTCCAGGCTCCTGGCATCGGACTGGCCCACACCTGGCTGTTGAGGCCATCTGGGTGTGAACCAGCGGATGAAATATCTCTGTCTTTTCTTCTCTCTCTCTGTTGCTCTGTCGTTTAATTAATCAAAAAAAAAAAAAAAAAATTTAAGCACCAGAAACAATGAATCTTCTTCATGCTGTAGCAAGGACAAAAGCAGAGAGAAGAAATCAGTCTGAAAACATTACAATCACAGTGAAGGCCAGTGACTCAGGAAGTTACTTCACCTCCTGTATCAAAGCCCCCATTCACAGTACAGCAGAGGCCTGCGACCAGAGACGCTAAGGTCCATGCCATAGAGACTTCCCTAACTCTGGGGTTACCAATTTCCTCCCTGGAAAAGATAAAATACGTACCTGTGCATTGACATTGGCACCAAACTCCAGGAGGCACTGCACCGTCTCTTCCAGCCCCCAAGAGGCTGCCAAATGCAAGGGGGTTTGCCCATCTCGCGCCTCCTCTTCTCCTTCTCCACTAGCACCTGGCTGTCTGGGGCTATTCACGTCACAGCCACTGAAAAGAACGGGAATGAACAGACGGCCGTGCTTCCGCCTGGCCAATGCTGCTGACTGCAAAGCATCAGCCTCATCCGAGCTAACAAGGGGCTGCTGCTAGGGCTGCTATTCTTGGTCCTGGCTTCAAATACTGGAATCTGGGTCCCACAGCCACAGCTTCTTCTGCCACTCATCTTGGGTGCAAACTGGGTGTCAGAATTGTTAAAAGTTCCTAGGAGATTTGCACTGATTTCAAGCTTGAAGACACTGAGGTAAAGTCTTCCTGTTTACCCTTACTTCCCACAAATCCCGCTTTCTTTGAGGGGCTCCCTGCCTGCTGCTGCTCGTGTACCCGGGTGGGGTCCCGTAAGGGCATCTGGTCTCCTCTGGCCCGGCCTCCCGGCTGCAGTGTGAACCGCTCTCAGTGACTACAGGAGCCCGTGCAGGTGCCCAGGGAAGATGATCAACTTGAAGTCTAGTTCAGGGCTGTGTGCCTCCCCTCACAAGTGAGTCTGGGCCTTGCTGACTGGACATGACACAACAGTGACCCCAAGAGAGTCCGAATTATGAAAAAGCCAGGTATAAGCACATCAAGGCTGGAAGTAGATCAAACAAGGGTCAGTTTGCAATAAGATGAATAAGAAAATTTCAAGAGACACTTGGGCTGCTCGCACCTGCGAATCAGAAAGCAGGCAGTGGCCTCGTTGTTTTCATCGATGGCTCGGTGCAGGAGCGTCTGAAGGCAACCACTGGGTCCCGGACCCCAGCACGTGGCGTCACAGCCGTGTCTGACCTGCAGAGGAACACATGCTACTCACAAACACGGCCAAGCACAGGTGGATTCTGTTTTTGTTTTTGAACCAAGTCTGAGCTCTAGGTACAACATTAGCTCTCCCTTTCAAGATGTGGTTGATGATGAACTGATAATGACTTCAAATCGGTACTGTTCATTAGTTTACAGACCCCGTATGTAAAATCTGCTGTGTGTAAGTTCTTGCAGCAGGTCCTGTGGGACGGGTTTGAGAAATGTGAGTGTGTTGAATCTGTGCCTCCAGAGCCGCTTTCTAGTCCACACAGTAACACATACACCTGGGACCCTGGTGACAACGGGGGAAGATCTCCACGTACAAAACGCTGCAGCGTTCCACGGCAGGCTCTTCAGAGAGCTGAGAGAGGACTTCCAGGGAGCCTCCTGAACAGAGGTGCAAGCCTGAGGTTGGGGAATTCACCACTGTGCTGGCGGGGAGGGCAGCCCATGTCAAGTGATCCCCCAGGAGAAGACCCCTGAGGAAGTGGCCCTGCTCTCTACCTTCTAGGGCGTGTTCTCGGTAAAGACATGCTAAAATTAAGTGCTGGCCAAGACCAAGCTTCTTGAACGCAACTTTTCCAATGCTCGTCCTTGACCCAATCTGTCACGTGGCAAAGCTCCTGCTCCGGTGATTGCTGGCTGGGCAGCAAACCCATCTCTGACACAAAATATCCCTGCGTGTAGCAGAGGCTGTCCCGTGCTTGTCTCACCAGAGTGGAGGCAATGTCCTCCAGGTTATTTGCCAGCGCCAGCCACAGCGGAGGGTTCCCCTTCTCGTCTGGCACAGACATGTCGGCTCCTCGGGTACATATGGCGTCGACCACGAGCGGAAGCTGATTTCTGATGGCCAGCTGAAGGGCTGTCTCCCCATCCTGGGTCCTGTTAGGACATACCCAGCAAAACCAAGGTTTGTAGCTGGAGCCCAGCTACACCATGTCCCTTCTGTATACCTGACTCATGGTTATTAGTATTTTTCTCATGGAAATTACATGTGTCGACAGCATCTGTCCCTTTTGTCACCTTAGAAAATATAGCCATGCCTGCCGACTGGCCCCAGAAGAGAATGAACCAACATCCCCGCCTGCTGCACTCTAACAGGAACACAGCTGCATTAATAAAATACCACCCCAACCACCCACTCACCAATAGTTCCTTCCCTCACTCACTCCAGCTTGCTCGGAGCTAATGACAAGTTCCTTTGAAAATATAATCACAATAAAAATTTAATTCTGGGGGCCAGGCATTTGGTTCAGCAGTTAAGATACTACTTCAGATGCCTGCATCTCATACTGGAGTGCCTGGGTTACAGTTCCACCTCTGTTTCCAATTCCAGCTTCCTAATGCACACCACGGGAGGCAGCAGGCGGTGGCCAATGCTACCCAAGTGGGAGACCCACATCGAGCTCCTGGCTCCCAGCTTCAAACTCTCGCAGCCCTGGCTGTTTAGTGCAACTGGGGACTGAACTAGCAGATGGAAGGTATCTTTCTGCCTTTCATTAAATAATACATTTTAAAAATATTTAATTCTGTATCTTTTTCTACCCTCGAGTCTTTCTGGGAGCTTATTTGCTGGGATGTTCTTCACTGTGAGTGAAATTCCCACCAAAAAATTGACTGCACTGAACTTTCTGCAATACTCTGCACTGGTCCTGAGAGGCCGTACAAGAGCAAAACACAGGCCCTTCTCCAGCCCACAGGTTACTGAGTCTGCAGTTCCCACAGTGCATCTGTGCGTTTGCAGAGTCACTGTCTCCCTTTAACTGATTTTAAAAAGTTTATTTTTTCGAAAGGTGGGTGATGGAGCACACGCACACACTAGAAAGAGAAAGATCTGCCATCCACTGGTTACTCCTTAGGTGGCTAAAATAGCTGGGCTGGTCCGGTCCAGGCCAAAGCCAAGAACCTAGAGCTGCATCTGGGTCTCCCACAGCAGGGGTCCTAACACTTGGCCATCTTCTGCTGCTTTCCCAGGGGCACCAGCAGGGAGCCGGATTAGAAATGCAGCAGCCAGGACTCAAAGCAGCGCTTCAGGAGGGGATGCCAGCATCACAAGTGACGAGTCAACGTACTGCACCACAGAGTTGACACCTATTCTTTTATTTATTGGGGAATAAAACTATTTGCTGCAGGAAGGCCACGCTTTGCAACCACTGGATTTGGATGTAATCTGGTGTTACAGCGCACAGTGCTGGCTCAACCCACCTGATGTTTATATCTGCCTGATGCTCCAGGAGAAAGAGTGCACTTTTGCTGTCCTGCCGCTGGATGGCCATGTGCAGCAAGGTCTGCCCACTGGACATGCTGTCATTGATGGAAGCCCCGGAGCCCAGCAGCTGGGCTGCAATCGTGTGCATGCCTGGGAAACACACAAGGCCTGGTGAACACATGCTCAGCCCCTCGCACGTGCTCAATACCTTACTACCACAGCCAGATGCTTCCAATCCTCAAAACCTGGACAGCACAGGCCTGACCCAAACACAAAACTTATTTCACAACCAGATGATTAGCCCCACCCCTCCTGCCCTCATTCCTGCTGGCTCACCCTCTGCCTGCTCTGCTGAGATCTGTCTGACTGTAGACATCAACAGCCTTTGGGCCAAACTTACCAGTCCACAATGCCAAGCCCAGCACAGTCTGGTCTCGGGAATCCTTGAGGCTGAAGTCCGGAATAATTTGCAAGTTGTTGGTGGCGTGAAGGGCATTGGCTACATTTTTTCAAAAGAAAAAGGGACACTTGATTTTACCATTCCATGGATCATACTTAAAGCATTCAAAGAATAAGAACAAACACAATTTCAAGTCAACTGCCTATAATGCGATCATTGCTACAAAGAGATCAGACAAACCTTATAAGAAGTTGAAGCCCAAATCTGATATTTCTAGAACAAGGCTTAGAGGGACAATTTTTTTATTTATTTATTTTTTATTTATTTTTATTTATTTATTTTTTTTTATTTTTTTATTATTTATTTTTTTTTTGACAGACAGAGTGGACAGTGAGAGAGAGAGACAGAGAGAAAGGTCTTCCTTTGCCGTTGGTTCACCCTCCAATGGCCGCCGCGGCCTGCACGCTACGGCCGGCGCACCGCGCTGATCCGATGGCAGGAGCCAGGAGCCAGGTGCTTTTCCTGGTCTCCCATGGGGTGCAGGGCCCAAGCACCTGGGCCATCCTCCACTGCACTCCCTGGCCACAGCAGAGGGCTGGCCTGGAAGAGGGGCAACCGGGACAGAATCCGGCGCCCCGACCGGGACTAGAACCCGGTGTGCCGGCGCCGCTAGGCGGAGGATTAGCCTAGTGAGCCGCGGCGCCGGCGGGACAATTTTTTTAAAACACTGACTCTGGGGTCAGCACTGAGGCGCAGCAGATTAAGCTGACGTCAGCAACAGCACTGGCATCCCATGTGGGCAGTGGTTGAGTCATGGCTGTTCCACTTCTGATCCAGTTCCCTGTTAGTGTACCTAGGAAGGCAGTGGAGGATGGCCCAGGTGCTTGGGCCCTGCACCCACATGGGAGACCTGAAAGAGGCTCCTGGCTTTGGCCTGGCCCAGCACCAGCTATTGCAGCCAAAATATGAGAGCAGAGTCAAAGGTTGTAACACCTCAACCTAACAGGTGAAATGGGCAAGCCTCATCTATGCAGGAAAACACAGTAGGAAGAGCCCGATCACATGCTTCTCTGGCTGGAACTGAAAGATTTTTTGGGGGCACGGGGGGAATTGTGGGTAGTGTAAGAAATTGGCTATATACAGCTCAAGCGTAAGGGTAGGCATTTTGTCTAGTGGTTAAGGTGCCAGTTAAGACACTGACGTCCCATATCTAGAGTGTCTGGAATCCACAGGCAGTTCTGGCTCCTGACTGATTCCTGCTAAGGCAGACCCTGGGAGGCAGTGCTGATAGCTCAAGTAATTGGGTTCTTGCCACTCACACAGAAGAGCTAGACTGGGTTCTGGCTGCCAGCTTCAGCCTGGCCCAGCCCCCACAGCTGGAACAATTCAAGAGTAAGCCAGCAAATGGGAGCTCTCTGATTGTAATTGTCTCTTGAATAAATAAACATCAACTCTATAATTAACTACCTCAAAGCACTGAGGAGCAGTATGTCCGGCCACCTACCTTTCTGCTCCAGGATGACGGATACCACATCCGGATGGTTATAGGCAATTGCCATGTGCAGCGGCGTCTGCAGAGAGACACTGTCTGCGGAGCCAGCCAGGGACGCAGCCTCCTTTGGCAAGGGTACGGCCTCCTCCGTCTGCAGGTTTGGGTTGGCTCCTTGCTGCAGGAGCTCTGCAGTGAGGTTGGCCAGGCCGTGTCGACACGCTGTGTGCAGTGGGGTTTCTCCCTGAGTGGAAAAGATGGCCCACATCTGAGCACGCTGGGCTAGCAGATCTCTTTTCAAACACTCAAATGTCTATGCACATGTATGTTTATGTATGTAGGTACACACATATACACAAAATGAGTTTCCAAACACATGGAAGCAAACTGAACATACTGGTCTGTATCTTGCTCTTAACAAAGTTATACATCATTATCACTGGAAGTCAACAGCTCTTATTGTGAAAAACAGCAAGATCTTAGTTCCTTTTTCTTAAGAAACAATTCTCCTTTCCCAGAGCGAACCACTTGTAACTTTGTCAGCTAGGTTTCTCCGTATTACTAACTTCTCAAAAAAAGACATATGGGCACTGGGTCAAATCCCAGCTACTCCACTTTCAATCCAGCTCTCTGCTAATGGCCTGGGAAAGCAGTGGAGGATGGCCCAACTGCATGGGCCCCTGCACCCACATGGGAGATCCAAAAGAAGCTCCTGGCTCTGGGCTGCAGCCTGGCCCTGTCCCAGCCACTGCAGACGTTTGAGGGAGAGAGCCAGCAGATGGAAGATCTCTCTCTCTTTGTCCTTTGATCTCTGACTTTGAAATAAATAAATCTTAAAAAACAAAAACAGAAAAAGACATTTATTTGAAAAGCAGAGTGACAGAGATAGAGGGAGAGGTATCTTGCATCCACTTGCTCACTCCCTAAATGCCTGTAACAGCCAGGGCTGAGCCAAGCCAAAGCCAGGAGCCAGGAACTCAAGTACTTGAACCACCATCTGCTGCTTCCCAGGTGCATTAGCAGGGAACTGGATAGGAGGCAGAGGAGCTGGGACTTGAACCCATGCACTGATATAAAATGCAGGTGTCCCCTAACACCCATGTCACTGACATGTTTTTACTGCTGCCTCTTCATTTTCCAGCGGCAAACACTCACTACCTGAGGGACCTGCCACTATGAGAGAACAGTGCTTTCATTCCTCGACCCCAACACACAGTCTTCCATCCACACCACATCCTCCCCTAGCAGGGCTGCATCCTCTCATGGTGAGAGCCCTCTCAAGTTCATCCTCCTGCTTAGGGCTTCTTCCTACACTCTCTCTCACTGGGTGTGCTTCTCTACACCACGGCTTTTTTTTTTTTTTTTTTTGGACTGGCAGAGTGGACAGTGAGAGAGAGAGACAGAGAGAAAGGTCTTCCTTTTGCCATTGGTTCACCCTCTAATGGCCACCACGGCTGGCGTGCTGCAGCCGGCACACCGCGCTGATCCGAAGGCAGGAGCCAGGTGCTTCTCCTGGTCTCCCATGGGGTGCAGGGCCCAAGGACTTGGGCCATCCTCCACTGCACTCCCGGGCCACAGCAGAGAGCTGGACAGGAAGAGGAGTAACCGGGACAGAATCCGGCGCCCTGTCCACGGCTTCTACCAGTGGCAACAAGCCCAGGTCTCCAGCTCCAAAGCCCTCCGTGGATCTTTTCTTCCAACAGGATCAAGTCCAAACGTCTTATACCACATTTCTGGCCCTTCCCCAGCACTGCTCTCAGCTGCTTTCATGTCATGTTTACCCTGCACGTCTACAGCTCAAATTGCACCTTGCTTTGCTATGAAGGGTATAGTAGCAACAAACAAGCAAAACCAGTTGACGGATAATGTGAACTCTAGGGAGGATTTTTTAAACTCGGGAGACAGCAGAGCACGTCTCTATACTATCAAATGCATAATGGGAAAAATTAATGAGAAAGAGAAAGACACATACAACTGTGGAACAAAGTTACTGAGAATGTGAGAGGGATAAGACGTAGAGCCCCCAGAAAGGAAGCAGCTGGGGGTAGCCCACGGTTCTAGCTGGACAGTAGACCACGTAGGAGACAGACGAGTGGATTTAACGGTGGAAGAGGATGGCACTGCCTTCTCCAAGACATTGTGGGGTATCCCAGACACCACCCTTGTCGTCAGGTGCCCTGCCCACCACCGTCTAGGGAGCGGCTCCACTGTCAGGAGCCTCCTGACCTCTCATAGTGATTTCTAAATGAAGAAGAGGGCTCTTCAATCCTAACAGCACTGTTGCCTCTAGATCCACAGTGACAACTAAAAGGGGGTCATGCCCTTAAGCCTCTAGCACAAGGTCATTATAAAAAAAAAAAATCAGTGATCTTTCAGATAAGAACATCCTCCCTATCTGAAAATAAAGAACCTGCAAATCACTGTCACTTAGTAGCAAATGTCCCAAACACTATGCGAGTAAGCACTGACATTATTGTTTATTTTCATCGTAAGCGTACCTCATGAAATCAGTATTAGCCTCATGTTACAGATGAGGGGACTGAAGCTCAGAAAGGTTAAGGACTTGCAGAAGGACACAGCGAGGAAATGGGATAGCTGGTAAACCAGTCACAGCCAACGTCAAGGCCACACTTTTTAAATTTCTTTTTTATTTATATAAGGTGAGCTAATTTCATGTGGTTCATATATACAGATTTAAGAGCATAATGATATTTCTCAGCCTACCCTCCCTCCCCACACTTTTGACGGTAACATCTACAGTCTCCCTTGTAGCTGTGATACACGTAATGAGCATCCACAAAGGAAAACCTCAGCAACGCACGGTGTCATGGAGAATCAGGGCCCTGTGATGGCAGGTTTCCACAGACGTGTGCTAATCTCTGTCAGAGTAGAGAGCACAGTATGTAGTCACAGGCCCGACGGACAAGCACTTAGGAAACGGCTGCTGAATGAACTGATCAACCCATATTTCAGGCACACAAAACAATGTCTCACTCTGGTTTTAAATACACACAAGGGGGCCGGCGCTGTGGTGCAGCGGGTTAACGCCCTGTCTTGAAGCGCCAGCATCCCATATGGGCACTGTTCTAGTCCTGGCTGCTCCACTTCCCATCCAGCTCTCTGCTATGGCCTGGGAAAGCAGTGGAATATGGCCCAAGTCCTTGGGCCCCTCCATGCGGTTGACCCGGAAGAAGCTCCTGGCTCCTGGCTTTGGATCAGCGCAGCTCCGGTTGTTGCAGCCATCTGGGGAGTGACCCAGTGGATGGAAGACCTCTCTCTCTCTCTGCCTCTCCTCTCTCTGTGTAACTCTTTCAAATAAATAAATAAATATTTCAAATAAATAAATACATACATACATACATGGTGTGACAAAAATTGAAACAAACAAACAAACAAAAGAATCCATTCCATTCTTTCCCTACATAGCCACTGCTCCCATTTCTTCCTAGACCAAAACTACTTCCCACAGCTGCCCTGTCGTACTTACCCACTTGTTTCTGTGGTTGACATGGGCACCATTAGTTGCCAGGAAAAGAGCTGCAGCCTCATTTCCTGCTCCAGCTGCCCGCTGTAGTAAACAATTTCCTAGAGGAAAACAGGCAAATTCATTCTTCTATGTGCATGAAAATCAAGTTCCACATTACACAACACCTGCCCCTCCCACCATCTGACTACAGAAGCCCACCCCAGATGACCGGATGACCACTATCATTTCAGTCCACACCAGCCTGTCTGTCCATGGACAAAGCGACTGGGGAAGACCTGGGTTCGAAGAGCCACTGGCCACCAGTCAGCACCAGAGTTATGCCTCCTTGCTGGGGTAGGGAGAGAGCAAGACAGCAGCAAAGGAGGGCTGCTACTGCAGTATGGATGGTGGGATAGTTCCGCTGCGGCAGTCTGTCCTGCACGCTATATGTTTGACCGCACACCTCATTTTTGCCCACTGAACTTGTGACAATCAGAATGTCGACAGATGCTGCCAAATGTCCTGGGGTGGGGAGGGTTCAGGTGGGGAGAGCTGTCCCTTGCTGAGAACCACTGGGCCAGAGGAACATTTTCAAGACACTTGTAAGTTGAGTTCTACTGAAAATGACCCCTACAGAGCTCACTTTTATCCCAAGGACTCTAAACACATTTGTTCTCAGCTTAGAAACATTGTGCTTCCTGCTGTCACCTTGTCTAAATGAAAATCTTGGAAAGAAAAATACTATCTTTTTCTCTCTTAAAATGGCTTTAGCCCTAGAACCATGTTTCTCAGTCTTCTGAAACCCATTTTCAAAAATGAATATAAAATCTCATGTTCTGTAGCTACACAATGTGGAAACCCAAACAAATTAAACACCAGGACTAAAAACAAGCTGAGGAAATGGGATGCGCTGTTTACACCCTGTTTCCCTCTGTGCTCCCTCCTAGCTGACGGTCACTGCGGTCCAGAGGCTGCATCCAGAGCTCCATAGTCACTCACGTAGCCATTCCAGTGTGCACGGGCTTCAGCTGTTCTTGTTCTCCCAACAGAACAGAAACAACCTGTGATCACTAAACACGACTGAGCTGGCAAGAACCAGTGGACCAAGGACCAAGGGTGTTACATGTAAAATGAAAAATGGAATAAACTGACTGGAAACAATGAACAATTCCAAGTCTGTATGTAGTTAACAACCCAAACTAAAAGAAAGTAACATAAAATTGATGGAGATAAGCAAGGGAAATGGAAAAGTCCCTAAACAATGACAAATTTTAATATCCAAGCAGATCAATCACTAACATGATTTCGGATTCCACACTGCAACTAACCTTAAAGAAGTTATCACTTGATGAACTTTTATTTTTTAATTTTTGAAACATTATTATTTATTTGAAAGGTAGAGAGACAGAGAGAAGGAAAGAGAGAGAGAAAGAGAACTTCCATCTGCAGGATCACTTCCCAAATGGTTGCAACAGCTAGGGCTGGGCCAGACCCAAGCCAGGAGGCTATAACTCCATCTGGATCTCCCACATGGGTAACAGGGGCCCAAGTATTCTGGCCATCTTCCACTGCTTTCCCGGGTGCACTAGCAGGGAGCTGGATCAGAAGTGGAGCAGCTGGGACATGAAGCAGCATGCATATGGGATGCCGGCACTGCAGGCAGCGTTTTAACCTGCTGTACAACTCTGACCCCTGAAGCACATGATTTTAAAAAAATACAATCAAGATGCTTGTTTAAAATTAAGTACTTGCTGGCGCCATAGCTCACTAGGCTAATCCTCCGCCTGTGGTGCCGGCACTCCGAGTTCTAGTCCCGGTTGGGGCACCGGTTCTTTCCCGGTTTCTCTTCTTCCAGTCCATCTCTCTGCTGTGGCCCGGGAGGGCAGTGGAGGATGGCCCAAGTCCCTGGGCCCTGTACCCCATGGGAGACCAGGAGAAGCACCTGGCTCCTGGCTTTGGATCGGCGCAGTGCACTGGCATAGTGGCCATTTGGGGGGTGACCCAACAGAAGGAAGACCTTTCTCTCTGTCTCTCTCTCTCACTGTCTAACTCTGCCTGTCACCAAAAAAAAAAAAAAAGTACTGAATAATTCATGTAGTAGTGTGCCACTGCCTTTCTAAAGTTTTGGTAAGAACATTTACTCAGCGGGGCAGGCATCCCACATGCAAGTGCCTTTTCACGTCCCAGTTGCTCCATTTCTGACTCAGCTTGCTTCTGAAGCACCTGGGAAGGCACCTGATGATAGGCCAAGTCCTTGGGCCCCTACAACCACGTGGGAAACCTGAATGGCTCCTGCCTTTGACCTGGTCCAGCACTGGTTGTTGCAGCCATTTGGGGAGTCAATCAGCAAATGGATCTCTTTTTCTATTTCTCTCTTTCTCTGTCAGTCTGTCTTTCAAATAAATAAATCCTTAAAGAAAAAAATTGACACAGCATTTCATGGAACGGCGGGATTCAGCTCATCTTCAGGGCTCTGTCTGCTTTACCTGTCATCGCATCAGGGGCGTCAGTGTTGCTGCCACGCTGAATGAGTCTGGCGGCAAAGCTGTTCTCATCAAAGGAAGTCCCGTTGACCACGGGCAGGTCTTCAAAGGGGTTTACAGACTGGTCGGAGGACATGGTGATGGACTGTACCGCCAGCCACAGGGCTGTGCTGCCCTCATGGTCTTTGAGCTCCAAGTCTAATCTGAAACAAGAAGGCAGCGCCAGTGCAAACATGATTTTCAGCTACTCTGTATGCCAAGAGCTCATTCATGATTTGCATGTCTTGACCGACAAATGTATGTTACTTCTACTTATTAAAACTTGTAACAGTAGAAGGTATTTTAAAAGAATTATTTTTCACTCATGACCCCCTGCCCCCACTTTCTCATCCTCCGGGTGGCCCTACGTACTGTTTACACAGCAGCAGCTGACTGAACACGTGTTCGTTCCTGGCCATGATGGACAGGTGTAAAGGAGTCCTGTGGGATGAAAAGAAGAGGGGTCAGCACAAGCAGGCCCAGCTCCGGGCTGCCCGTCGCACAGGGCGGGCAGAATCCTGTGCAGAATCACCAGCAACAAGAAATTCCACATTTCTGCCACAAGGTTCCAAAACTATGGCATCAAAACGAGACAACAGACTTGCTTACATGTTGCCATATATTCAGTGGCCAAGAAGGACAAGAATGAAAAGAGAAGAAACATGACTCTCCAATTTAATTCTGATCCTTTACTGAATGTCGATCTGCTAACTTTTTAAAACCAAGTTGCGGGGCCAGCGCTGTGGCACAGTGGGTTAACGCCCTGGCCTGAGTGCCGGCATCCCATATGAGTGCCAGTTCTAGTCCCGGCTGCTCCTCTTCCAATCCAGCTCTCTGCTATGGCCTGGGAAAGCAGCAGAAGATAGCCCAAGTCCTTGGGCCCCTGCACCCATTTGGGAGACCCAGAAGAAGCTCCTGGCTCCTGGCTTCGGATCGGCGCAGCTCCGGCTGTTGCAGCCATCTGGGGAGTGAACCAACGGATGGAAGATCTATGTCTCTCTATCTCTACCTCTATCTGTAACGCTTTCAAATAAACAAAATAAATCTTAAAAAAAAAAAAAAAAAAAAAAAAAAAAAAAAAAAAAAAAAAAACAACGGTTGCTACCACAGGCATGCCCATTTGTTTTTTCACCTACCTGCTGCCAATTCTCAAATTTTTCTTCCCCTAAATTTCCTATTATACTCAATACACAGAGTAGCAACGGTGAAGAACTCATTAAGGTGCACACTGTCGCTGCTTTTACTTAGCACTCGAGTGCCCTGAAGGAGATGGCCATGCAGAGCACGGCCCGCAGCTTGGCGTCTGCCTCGGGAGAACGCACTGCCACAGTTCTCAGGTTGGAAAAAAATCAAAGAATCAACTGGCAAGAAATGGAGGCAATTATTTTGGTTATTTTAGTTACCTTCTAGCACATGATTTTAAGAGTCCACAAAGATATTACTTAAGTCCTTTATCCATCACACAGATCCATTTTCCTATTTTCACAGAAATCTATTTTCTGACAGGGTTTTCAAAGGCATAAAATATTGAGCTGCTAAGGTAAGTGGGTCCTACTTGTAACTGTTGATTCGGGTGGCTTTTTTTGTTTGTTTGTTTTTGATAGGCAGAGTGCACAGTGAGAGGGTTACCATTGGTTCACCCTCCAATGACCGCTGCGGCTGATGCGCTGTGGCCGGTGCACCGCGCTGATCCGAAGCCAGAAGCCAGGTGCTTCTCCTGGTCTCCCGAGGGGTGCAGGGCCCAAGTACTTGGGCCATCCTCCACTGCACTCCTGGGCCACAGCAGAGAGCTGGACTGGAAGAGGGGCAACCGGGACAGAATCCGGCGCCCCGACCGGGACCAGAACCGGTGTGCCAGCGGAGGATTAGCCTATTGAGTAGCGGTGCCGGCTGGCAAATCTGTATTTCTGACTTCAATAAAAATCAGAGTGAGGGGCCAGTGCCGTGGTACAGTGGGTTAATGCCCTGGCCTGAAGTGCTGGCATCCCATATGGATACCCATTCAAGACCCAGCTGCTCCACTTCCGATCCAGCTCTCTGCCATGGCCTGTGAAAGCAGTAGAAGATGGCCCAAGTCCTTGGGTTTCTGCATCCACATGGGAGACCCGGATGAAGCTCCTGGCTCCTGATTAGCTCAGCTCCGGCCGTTGCAGTCATTTAAAGAATGAATCAACAGACAGAAGACCTCTCTCTCTCTCTCTGCCTCTTTTCTCTCTGTGTAACTCTTCCAAAACTAACTAAATAAATAAATCTTTAAAAAAATATTCAGGGGGCCAGCGCCGTGGCGTAGTAGATTAATCCTCCAGCTACAGTGCCGGCATCCCATATGGGCACTGGTTCGTGTCCTGGCTGCTCCTCTTCCAATCCAGCTCTCTGCTGATGCCTGGGAAAGCAGTAGAAGATGGCCCAAGTCCTTGGGCCCCTGCTCCCATGTAGGAGACCTGGAAAAAGCTCCTGGCTCCTGGCTTCAGATTGGTACAGCTCTGGTCGTTGCGGCCATTTGGAGAATGAACCAACAGAAGGAAGACCTTTCTCTCTGTCTCTCCCTTTCACTGTCTGTAACTCAACCTCTCAAATAATTAATAAAATCTTTTTAAAAAAATCAGACTGAATAATGCCAAACTGAAGAGTATGACGTCCCTGAATGCCAATTATGTGGCACCGTAAAATAACCCTCTGGGAACCGTCCCATAGGCACACAGTACCTGCTCCCAAACTTACCTGCCCTTGCTGTCCTGCATATTGGGGTTGGCACCAGCCTGCAGGAGGGCCTCAGCAATCTGTGCCATCTCAGACATCACACCTGCTGAGTGTTTCTTTGAACTGTACAACGCCACAAGGTGCAACGGTGTCTCCTGGGCACCCAAAGTAGCCGCATTGACAAGGGCCCCACTCTTAATGAGGAACGTGGCAGCGAAGAGATCTCCTTGAAAAGGAATAATGGAAGAAACAGTGCCACACACATGGCAACACTCAGGGTGAGTTGTTCTGGCCCGTGCTTCCTCACAAGGAGCGGTCAATATGCACACAGAAGAGGGGCACCTGGGTGTGTGTGATGGAGCTCTTGAGGACGCCTGCGGGGCAGAACTCAGCACTGACATCACGAAGTACACACTCTAATGAAAACGTCTGTGTTTGGCACAGTGGTTAAGAGTCTCTGCTCCCAATTCCAGTTTCCTTCTAATGTGACCCTGAGAAGCATCAGTGACGGCTCATGTGATTGGGTTCCAGCTACCCACGCAGGGGACTTGCATTGCATCCTTGGCTCCTACTCTGCTCCTGGTACAGTCCTGGCTATTGCAGGCATTTAGGAAGTAAACCAGCAGATACGATCCCTCTCTCTCACTCTCAGTCTTTCTAATAAATAAATACATTCTTTAAAAAGAATCTTGTGGGCCAACATTTTGGTGCAGGGGGTCAAAGTCGCCACCTGGAATGCCAGCATCCAACATGAGCCAGTTCTAGTCCCAGCTGCTCTACTTCTGATGCAGCTCCCTGCTGATGTACCTGGGAAAGCAGCCTTAGACGGCCCAAGTACATTGTGCCCTCGCCACTCACATGGGAGACCCAGGCTCCCAGGTTTCAACCAGGCCCAGCCCCACCATAGCAGCCATCTGAGGAGTGAACCAGCAGATAGAAGATCTCTCTCTTTTTCTCTCTGTGTAGCTCTGCCTTTCAAATAAGTAAATAAATCCTTTTTTTTTTTTTTTTAAAGTTTAAAAAACCAGTTAAAGTATTCTTGTCAAACTACCTTGGAAGATGACAGGGGTAACAAATTTATTGTAAGATTATGTATTAAAGGTCAATCTGCCCTGAATGTAGTTCTAGTCATAATTTAAAACATACAAAAACACTAAATATTTTATTTTACTATTATTTTTAAAGATTTATTTACTTCAATGTAAGAGGTACAGGGAGAGAGAGAAAATCTTGCATCCCCTGGATGATCTAACAAAACACTAAAATACCTGCAATAGCCAGGGCTGGGCCAAGGCCAAAGCCAGGAGCCGGCAATGCAATCCAAGCTTCCCATATACGTAGCAGAAACCCAGTGACTTCAGCCATCACTGCTGTCTCCCAGGATGCGCTCTGGCATGAAGACAGAGTCAGGAGGCCGAGCCTGACGCACACCCAGGCACTCCAACATGGAATGCAGGCATCTTCATGGCTAGGCTAAATGCCCACTTTCCAAAGGGGTCATCTTGATGAACATGAACCTTGGCTGCCACGAGAATCTAATGTGTGTCCAGAACGAGATCTAAATCTCAGATATTCAAGCCCCTTACTCATCAAAAGCTTAGAGCAAGGTCAACAGTGAAACTTAGGTCTACTGTTCAATGTAATCATTTGGGCAGGACAACAGACTAGTAGCTCAAGCTGAAGGAGGAAACGTGAAGAACATTCCTGCAGGACTCGGACCTGGTATGGCAAGGAGTCCTGCTGTCCTGGGCGAGGCAAGGGCAGCACTTGACCCTGCAGAGCAACAGGCGGTCACTGTCCTCGGCACACTGCTGACTCTGCCCCTAGCTCCCCCAACTCTCCAGCAAAGCAGAAATAACCCCCACTCCTCATTACAGAGGAGATGACGACTCAGCTATCCACTGACTGTCCAAGGCTACAGGGCAACAGCTGAGCCAAGACTCAAACCCTGTTCCCTCCAAGCTGCAAAGCCAGTGCTCTGTCTGCCACACCTTGCCACCTCTCTAAGGTCAGCAACAATCAGGTCACTGCATCTACAGAGTAACCACATGCCTGCAGGCAACTGACACATGCAGAGTAGAAAATTATGTCATCTGAAAAGCAGCATCAAAAATGCATCACCAATTCTTGGCAATTCTTGTAACTAAGCAATCACTAAAATATTTAATAACTAGTCAAAGATGTTTTTTCACTAAACATAAGAATTTAACTCCAAGAGGAAAGAAACATAATCTCAGATTGATTTTTTTTAGTAACAAGTGTATCTGTTTCCAAAATAAACATCTCAGACACTAGACAGTGGGAAAGAACAATTCCCTCTGTGGTGGAAATTTTCCCCACTGAAGGCACACCCCCAGAGAGGTGCTTGGGAAAAATGCATCTGCTCTTGACACTGACACACTCTGAGGACTTCCTACACAACAGTGAGCAACATTTTCCTCTCCACCAGCCAGCAAGCACAGCCCTCTCAACACATACCTAGGACGCTTACACGAGAACCTGTGCCCAAAAACGGCAAAGCCACAGCTGCAACAGAGCCGCATCACGAGGTAACCGCGTTCCACTAGCTAGAAGCCACTTGTGAATGGCCAAAGTGCGGCAGAGACAGTAACAGTGCAATAATGCATCGTCAGAAGGGCAAAATACACATGATTATGATGTGCTAAAACGGGGTATTCTGCCTTGATCTCCACATGGAAACAACAAAACAGTGGCTGCAGCAAAGTACTTCAGTCAAGGCAACTATGCCTCTACAAAATGGAGTCTTGCGCTTTTCTGAAAGCTTTCCCCCCATACCGGAACTGTACCTCTCCAAATTTTCACTGTGTCAAAAATGCGGGGAGGTGGGCCAGGGTTGTGGCTCAGCAGGTTAAGCCATCACTTGCAACACCAGCATCCCCCATCAGAGTGCTGGTTTGTGTCCTGGCTGCTCTGCTTCCAATCCAGCTCCCTGCTAGTGTGTTTGGGAAGGCAGCAGATAACAGCCCAAGTGTTTGGGCCCCTGTCACCCAAGTGGGAGACCTATATGGGTTTGTGGCTCTCAGCTTCAGTCTGGCTAAGTTCAGGCTGTTGTCAACTTTTGGGGAATGAACCAGTGGATGGAAGATCTTTCTGTCTCTCTCGCTCTCTCCCTTTCAAAGAAATAAATCTTAAAAGAGAGAGAGGGAGGCAGGCAGGCAGAGAGGCGGCCATTTAGCATAGCAGTTTGGGGTTAAGACACATAGCTGGAGACAGCCACATCCTATCCTGGAGTGCCCTCCTCACACCTGGAGATCACAAATCCTAAGTCAGGTAGCCTAAGAACACAGACTGAGGAAGTCTGAGGAAATTTCTAGAACACAGAGAGTATTCAAAAATTACTTGGGTAAAAAATCAAATCACCTGTAGAGAAATAACACAAAATACACTTCTTACCTCTCTGGATTCCTTTATGTAACAAGCTCCAGCCATTCTTGTCCACCATGTCCACATCAGCTTTGTGGCTAACCAGCGTCGTGGCAATACTCTCTAGGCGCCGGGAGAGGGCTAGATCTAATGCAAGATCCCCGTTGTGATCCACTTCGTTCAGTTTCCCAGGGAGCTGCGCAGACAAGCTACGTATCAGCACTCAGCCAGTGGAGAGCGCAACCTACTTTAATTTCTCCCATCGTGACCCATGAATATCCTGCCTTTCCCAAATGCCGAGTTTTAGAGCTATGACATTTATTACTTCCCAAATTCAACTGCATTCACAATCTTTTATCAGGTCTCCTCAGGGCATGAGCTTTCAGAGAGCACAGAATTAACGGCGAGAACAAAATGGCTGTATATAACACAGAAGACAACGTAAGACCACAGGGGGAATGCCGACAAAGAGACGGCAGGCTCAAGTGCCAGGGCGGAGGAGCAGAGAGCTTTACAGAAACCAGCGAACATTTCTGTGAGACACTGTGGCTTAACCATCTAATTCCTTCTGGCAGGTAAATATCTCCCCACACACTGAACATTTAGGATAAAACATTCTTCACTCCCATCTGTCAAAAGAGCAACTACAATTCTTTTAAGCAGTTTTACAGGGCCGGCGCTGTGGCGTAGCGGGTAAAGCTGCCGCCTACATTGCTGGCATCCCATATGGTCGCCGGTTCGAGTCCTAGCTGCTCCTCTTCTGATCCAGCTCTCTGCTATGGCCTCGGAAACAGTGGAAGATGGTCCAGGTCCTTGGGCCCCTACACACACCCATGTGGGAGACCCAGAGGAATCTCCTGGCTCCTGATCGGCACAGCTCTGGCCAATGCGGCCAATTGGGGAATGAACAAGTGGAGGGAAGATTCTCTCTCTGCCTCTCCTTCTCTCTGTGTAACTCTGATTTTCAAATAAATAAATAAATCTTAAAAAAAAAAAAAAAAAGCAGTTTGACAGGCTGAATAACAGCCCACAAGGATGTCCACATCCTAAACTCCAGAATATGTCACCTTATATTACAAAATGCGCTTGGCAGATGTGATTAAGGTCAAGGATCTTGAGATGGGAAGAGAATCCTGGATGATCCAGGAGGGATCAACCTATCTAACCACGAGTGTTTAAAGGTGAGAGAAGGAAGGGCAGGTCTTACGGTGCAGCGGATTAAGCCACTGCCTAGGATACCTGCCTGCATCCCTCATCAGAGTGCCGGTTCAAGTCCTGGCTCCTCTGCTGATCCAGCTTCCTGTTTACACATGCCAGGGGGCAGCAAGAGATGGCTCCAGTCCTTGAGTCCCTTCCACCCACACAGGAGACCCAGATGGAGTTCTGCAGTCTGGCTTTGACCTGGTCTGATTCCGACTGTTGCTGCCATTTGAGGAGCAAAACAAAACAAAAAAAGGAATAAAGAAAAAACCAACACACACACACACACACAACTGTTGAAGGAAGCTCTCTTTGCTCTCACTCTCACTGTGCCTTACAAATAGATGTGAGAAAAAATGTGAAAGAGGGAAACAGAAAAGTAGGACACAGAGATATGACACGAGATGGACTGGACCTGCCACTGCTGTCTCTGAAGATGAAGGCAAGGGCCATATGGTGGCATCTCAAAGCTGGGAACTGCCCTCAGCTGACAGCCTATAGGAAACAGGGACTTGAAACGAAAACTGATTTTGGCACTTGTAAGTTAATTATTACTGTTAACAACTACCTAAAAATATGAAGGGGCTGCATTGTGTGAAGCAGGTAAAACCACTGCTTGAGATGCTGACACTTCATATAGGAGTGCTGGTTCAAGTCCCTGCTACTCCACTTCCAATCTAACACCTTGCTAATGCACCTGGGAAAGTAGTGGATGATGGCTTAAGAACTTGGGCCCCTGCAACCCATGGAAGAGACCAGGATGCAGTTCCAGTTTCTTGGCTTTGTCCTGACCCAGCCCCAGCCATTGTGGCCATTTGAGGCATTGAACCAACAGTTGAAAGATCTCTTTCTCGGGGCCGGTGCTGTGGCATAGTGGGCAAAGCCACTGCCTGCAGTGCCAACATCCCATATGGGTGCCACTTCGAGTCCCAGCTACTCCACTTCCGATCCAGCTCCCTGCTAATACACCTGGGAAAGCAGTAGAGGATGGCCCAATTCTTTGGGCTCCTGCACCCGTGTGGGAGACCTGGAAGAAGCTCCAGGCTCCTGGCTTTGAATCAGCCCAGTTCCGGCCATTGCAGTCATTTGGGGAATGAAACAGTGGATGGAAGACCTATCTCTCTGTAACTCTACCTCTCAAATAAACAGATCTTTAAAAAGATTGCTTTCTGTGCTTCACTCTCTTTGTCAGTCTGAGTTTTAAATAAATAAAAGGTTAAAAATATAAAAATTAAGATGTGGAAGTGGTTCTGGAATTTGGCAATGCATTGAGGCTGGAAAATTTTGAGGACTGATTTAAAAAAAAGCCCAGACTGCCTTGGGAAACTATTAGTAGAAATATGCACATCAGACCGTGCCAGTGAGGGCTCAGAGAAAGGAAAGAGCAAGACAGAGAAAAGCATGTACTGCACAGTTTTGGGAAAGGCAGGAAAAACGGACAGAGCAGCTACAGTACCTGTGAGTCCATTTCAATGAGGTAAAGGAAGACCACATCTTCTCTCTCCACTTTAATAGCTTTATGGAGCGGGTACTCTGTCTTGGACTTGATCATTTTGTACAACAATTGAGCACTCATGCTACTGAAGTCCTCCTTTCGTAAATCATCCTAAGGATTAAAATCATAGTGAAAAGCAAAGCAGATAAAAGTACTAGCGATAGCAACAATGGTCGTCACTGTGCCCTTAGAATGTGTCAGACCCTAGGGCTGGCGCTGCGGCACACGTTGAGCCACTAACCACAATGCCAGCACTACATACGAGTGCCGGCTGGAGTCCCAGGTGCTTCACTTCTGATCCAACTCCCTGCTAATGTGCTTGGGAAGGCAAGAGAAGATGGCCCAACTGTTTGGGCTTCTGAACCCATGTGAGAGATCTGGCTGCAGTTCCTGGCTTCTGGTTTTGGCCTGACTGAGTCCAGCCTGTTGTGGTGATCTGGTGAATGAAACAGCGAATGGAAGATCTCTCTCTACCTCACTCTCTCTCTCCCCTCTCTGTCAGTCTGTCTTTGGAATAAACAACTCATAAAAGAAAAAAAAGTGTCAGCCCCTAAGTAATGATTTAATATTTCCAACTCTTTTCATCCTCACAAAAGTCCTATCAGATGGGTACTTATCATTCCCATTCAAAAATAGGGAACTATGGGCCGGTGCCGCAGCTCACTAGGCTAATCCTCCGCCTGCGGCGCCGGCACACCGGGTTCTAGTCCCGGTTGGGGCACCGGATTCTGTCCCGGTTGTCCCCCTTCCAGGCCAGCTCTCTGCTGTGGCCCGGGAGTGCAGTGGAGGATGGCCCAAGTACTTGGGCCCTGCACCCCATGGGAGACCAGGATAAGTACCTGGCTCCTGCCATCGGATCAGCGCGGTGCGCTGGCCGCAGCGCGCCGGCCGCGGCGGCCATTGGAGGGTGAACCAACGGCAAAGGAAGACCTTTCTCTGTCTCTCTCTCTCACTGTCCACTCTGCCTGTCAAAAAAAAAAAAAAGGGAACTATGGCATGAGGAGGTTAAATGACTTCACACATCACACATTCAGACAGGGAGTAAATGGCCATGCTGAGAGCCGGCATGAGCCATGCTGCAGGTGCAAGGAGAGCCGAGGCCAAGGGAGCAGCATGTGCAGAGGCCTCTCTCCCCACCACGATGGCAATGGGTGAGAACGTCTACAAGTGGCTCACAGCACTGAGCCTGCCTCTACCACTGCAGAGTTCTAGAGAAAGGCATGGTACCAGAAAAGTCACCATCCCCATTCTAATTCTTTAAAATCCAGTTCTTGTAGATGCTTTATCTGAAACACTGAGACGCTTCTCAATGTACCAATTCACAGATATAGTACAGAAAAAATTAGCACTAGCCATGGTATTTTAAAATGCAAAAACAAATGCAAGGAAGACATGTAAAGGCTGCAAACAGAGGAATGTAATGAATTTCAATTTACTGGCACTCTCCACCTGATGCAGAGCAGGACAGCTCTGAGAGCTGCTGCTGAGGAGCCCGGCGCTACAGCCTCAGACGGGGTCCTAGTGCAGTGACCCCTTCCCCACTTCCCCACGCCTGCTTCTGGCCCTGAACTACGTTCTGCCCCTCCACTCTGAAATCACAGAACCACCAGACTTTCAGAGCCAAAGTCACCTAACGCAACTACTTACCCTTCAAGTCTGTAACAAGAGACAACCAGGAGCCACACAGGCTACTTCCCAGGGAGCAGGTCCCAACCCCGGTACCCTGCCTTCCAGCGAGCGGGCTCTATCCTCACTCACCCAGTGGCTGGCAATGATCTCTGCACAGTAGTTCATCAGTGTGCTGGCATTCAGCTCTTCTGCAGTCTGATAGAAGCGGATACAATTCCTCACATTCACCAGAGACATAACGCCCTTCTCGCATCTGTAAAAGAAAACTAGTGATGATCAATATTATTAGGGCAAATATACTTACAAATGAACAAACCACAACAACAATCTGTCTACTGGCTGGCTACATCCAATAACACTGAGGAATAAGATCAAACAAGGTATTTATGAATAAATTACAGCAGCACTCCCAAATTTGGAAATATTATAATTTCATTAAAATATTACCTTGCTCAGTTCTGGTCAGATTCAAAACAACCTGCAAATAAACTTGTGAAGCATAATACCTCAACTGCCTTCAGAATAATCACATACACAGGCGATTATTAAAATCCCACGTGCCATGGATCAGCTTCTGTCCTTTGACAGTTAACTGTATGCACACCCCATCTGCACCACTCTATACTCAAACAGGGGTGCTTAGTAATATGTTTCTGGGACCAGGACTGTGGCACAGGTTAAGCCACCTCCTACAGTACCAGCATCCCATACGGGTGATGGTTGAGTCCTGACTGCTCCATTTCCAATCCAGCTCCCTGCTAATGTGCAGCAAAAGATGGCTGAAATCCTTGGGCCCATGACACCCGCATAGGAGACCCAAAAGAAGCTCCTGGCTCCTGGCTCCAGCTGGACTAGCCCCAGCCATTGTGGTCATTTGGGGAGTGAACCAGCAGACAGAAGATCAATTTCTGTCTCTCTCTCCTATCTCTGCCTTTCAAATAAATCAATCTTTAAAAATAAATTTTAAGAAAAAGAAATATGTTTCCAATAGGAGGCTGTATGCTTCATAAATTAACATCTCCTTAAAAGCTTCTGAAAGGTGAATTTTTATAGTATGTTGAATTATAACTCAATATATCTGTATTTTAAAAATCTACCCAAAATGCCTATAATGTAAATAGACAACTAAGCTAACAGTCAAACTATAGCACACTGAAAGAAAAACTGGCTACAATGAGTAAAAAACAACACCACAATTCTTTCAGAATCACTAATAAAGAATACCACTACACAGAGGACAAGTTGCACAGGCAAACAGGCTTCTGGCAGCAAGAAGCAAGTACCACATCCTAGCACAGAAGACTCAGCACTGCAGAGACTCAGGCTTCCTCTATCCAGAATTCCTGGAGCCCCTACTCTTCATGCCCTTGCCTCCATGAAGCCCTAGAATCAAGTTCACCTCCAAGGGCAGCCAAAGAGAACTAACGTGATGTCAGGAAATTTTCCATCGCCTCTCCTATCCCACAACCTTCACAAAGACTTTTCTTTTCTTAAAGATTTATTTATTTGAAAGACAGAACTACAGAGAGGCAGAGGCAGACAGAGAGGTCTTCCATCTGCTGGTTCACCCCGCAGATGGCCAGAACAGCTGGAGCTGTTAACAGTGGAGAGGTAGAGTCAGAGACAGACAGAGAAGGAGAGGGGTCTTCCTCTCCAAGAACACAATCTTGGATTCCTCCATGCAGCATTGAATGCATGCACCAATCCTAAGAAAAGTGTGAAAGCGCTTTTTCTTTTCTTTTCTTTTCTTTTTTTTTTTAAGATTTATTTATTTATTTGAAAGATAGAGTTACAGAGAGGCAGAGGCAGACAGAGAGGTCTTTCATCCTCTGGTTCACTCCCCAGATGGCCACAACAGCTGGAGCTGGGCAGATCCAGAGCCAGGAGCCAGGAGCCTCTTCTGGGTCTAGCACATTGGTGCAGATGTCCAAGGACTTGGCCATCTTCCACTGCTTTCCCTGGCCATTAGCAAGGAGCTGGATCAGAAGTGGAGCAGCCAGGTCTGGAACTGGCACCCATAAGGGATGCTGGCACTGCAAGTGGCGGCTTTACCCGGTATACCACAGCGCCAGGCCAGTGTTTTGTTTTTAACTGCCATAACAACCAAGGTGTAAAGCAGCACCTTTCCCAGGGCATTCTGACAACTACCCCAGGTCCAAAGCCACCAAGTGGGAGTGTAAGTTACATATATAACAAGTAAGCTCAGTTTTCTGCACCACGGCCACATCTGATGAGACACTCAGATTTCAGCAATGAAAGCGGAACATCTCAGGAGAAAAATCCTCTCCTCAGACCAAACTCTCACCACCTGGACGATGCCAAATGTTGTCTTGCCACCCTGGCATCCCAGCGCCAGCCTGCCACACAGCACAACTTTGAGGAATAATGACTCCTATCTGCAGAGCATTTCACCCTTACCGTTTTTATAGACAAATGCTCAGGGTCTGAAAACGCCATTCTCCTTCTTTTTACTACCAAATGACACTACACCATGAGATCCAAACTTGTTTCATGTGAGAACTGGCAGATGCTTCGTTTTCACTAATTCTAGGATCCCTGGAGTGCCAGCTTCCATTTGCACAGCCTATGAAGAGTAACTGAGATGATTTACACAACCGAAGAATATGTAGTCATATTTAAACATCTGGATTCTCAGTTCATGGATTCTCTTTGAAAATTAGCAAGACAGATTTTCCAATGCAAGAAAATTTTTTTGGTAATATGTATTTTTAATTTTAGATACAAAAAAGGATACAGATGAACAAACCCTAATTTTTAAAGCACAAAATCAGGCATATATTTAAGCATCTCGCAATTCCCACCTCATTTCTATAATAATCTGACATCTATGTAAAAGACATATAAATATTGGTGAAAGGAAAACCAAAACATGAACAGTGGTTCATTACACCATTCTGTATTTTCCAACCACCGTACACTGAACATGTTATACTCTCATAATCGGTGTAACAGTGATGTTATTGTCATACCTAGTAAATATCACTCCTGTTCACTAAAAATAATACTGAAAAAACCTTCCTTTTCACCAAATTGGTCTCAGCTTCAAAACCACAGATTCCTAAACCACAGAAATCCTTGCATTCTGAAACCGAGGACCTCCCGTGTCACACAGAACTGCACACGTGTGCCAGAGCCCTGTGACTTACTGTCTCAGACACGTCATCCCTCCTGCACATGGCAGCAGACACTCAGAGACCCTTCAACGGCAGCCTGTGAAACCACTGCTGAGTCTTCCATCCCAGCACTTAAGAAAGCTGGGGGCTGGCGCTGCGGCTCAATAGGCTAATCCTCTGCCTACGGCGCCGGCACACTAGATTCTAGTCCCGGTCAGGGCGCCGGATTCTGTCCAGGTTGCCCCTCTTCCAGGCCAGCTCTCTGCTGTGGCCAGGGAGTGCAGTGGAGGATGGCCCAAGTGCTTGGGCCCTGCACCCCATGGGAGACCAGGAGAAGCACCTGGCTCTTGGCTTCGGATCAGCACGATGCACCGGCCGCAGTGCACCGGCCATTGGAGGGTGAACCAACGGCAAAAAAGGAAGACCTTTCTCTCTGTCTCTCTCTCACTGTCCCCTCTGCCTGTAAAAAAAAAAAAAAAAAAGAAAGAAAGAAAGCAAGCTGTGCCAACCACCAACAGTGGGAATTCAGCATCTGTCAGTGCTGACAGTTACGAAGCCTCATCAGTCAACACACAACAAACATTTTCATTTTCATTAAAGAAATCTCATACACATTACAATGATCTAAACAATTGTAACCCCACGGCACTTTTATCAGAGCAACTTAATTTATGAGCAACTTTGACAAGGTCAATGGGATAATGCTCAGGAAATCTGAGGAAAAACAAAACTTAAACCACACTCTTATCTAATTAAAATCAATTTCACTCTCAGATGGTTCAGACTCACCAAGAAAACCCACAAGAGTGAGTTGTAAGGCCTTGACGATAAAGTTCATTTAACTAGTAATCTACTACTCGCTATACAGAATGCATCTAGAGATTTTAGACTTTTTTTTAAATATTGGACTTAGACACTAAAATGCACTCAAGTTCACATCAATTATAGTTAGGAATAACCTGTCTACTGATCCCTGTGGGGCACAGCAAGCCACCCAGGGGAAACGTGGTGAAAACAGAGCAAGCAGCTCTAGGTGGCAAAGCCTCCCTGCTTCCCTGAGAGCATCACAGGAACCAGTGGAGCACCTCTGGATGGCTGAAATCAGCCCTTCACACAGCCAGGAGAAAGGCCATTTCTTCACGCACCCAGAAGAATGTAACAGATCACCACGTGATGTACAAGGACACTCCATCAATCGAGCTGAGAAACAACAGCCACGTCTCCAACTCACACCCAAAGGCATTCTAGGGTCGGTGTTGCAGCATAATGAGTTAAGTTGCTGCCGGAAATGCCCACATCTGATACAGCACAGCCTTAAGTCCTGGCTGCTCTGCTTCCCATCCAGCTTCCTCCTAATGCACCTGGGAAAGCAGCAGAAGATGGCCCAGGAACATGGGCCCCTGCACCCACATGGGAAACCCAGTTGGAGTTCTAGGTTCCTAACTTTGGCCTGGCCCAGTCCTGGCCATTTGGGGAGTGAACCAAGATGGAAGATCTCTCCTGCTCTTTTTGTCTTAATTATTTCAAATAAATAAATAAATCCTTTTTAACATGGGGAGAGGAAGCATTTTAATGCCTGTTTTCTGCTCTTCTAAAAGGTGAACTTGGAAGAACAGGAGAAAATTCAATATAAAAAATATCTACTTGGGGGCCAACAATGTGGTGTAGCAGATAAAGCTGCTGCCCGTGATGCTGGCATCTCATATGGGCGCTGGTTCAAGTCCCAGCTGTTCCACTTCCAATCCGGCTCCCTGCTGATGTGCCTGGGAAAGCAGCAGAGAACGGCCCAAGTGTGCCCCTGCATCCACGTGGGAAAAACGGAAGAAGCTCCTGGCTCCTGGCTTTGGTATGGCCCTGCCCTGGCTGTTGTGGCCATTTGGGGAGTAAATCAGCAGATGGAAGATCTCTCTGAGTCTCCTTTATCTCTATGTGTGTGTGTGTGCGTGCACGTGTGTGTAACTCTGCCTTTCAAATAAATAAAAATGAATCTTAAAAAATCCACTGGGGCCGGTGCCGTGGCTCACTTGGCTAATCATCCACCTGCAGCGCCAGCATCCCATATGGGCCTGGGTTCTAGTCCCGGTTGCTCCTCTTCCAGTCCAGCTCTCTTCTGTGGCCTGGGAAGGCAATGGAGGATGGCCCAAGTGTTTGAGCCCCTGCACCCACATGGGACACCAAGAAAAGCACCTGGCGCCGGCGGCTGGCCACCACCAGTTATTTTTTTTGAACAAAAGAACGTAGCGGCCATTTTGGGGGTGAAGCAACGGAAGGAAGATTTTTTTTTTTTTTTTTTTTGACAGGCAGAGTGGACAGTGAGAGAGAGAGAGAGAAAGGTCTTCCTTTGCCGTTGGTTCACCCTCCAATGGCCGCCACGGCTGGCGCGCTGCGGCCGGCACACCGCGCTGATCCGATGGCAGGAGCCAGGTACTTCTCCTGGTCTCCCATGGGGTGCAGGGCCCAAGCACTTGGGCCATCCTCCACTGCACTCCCTGGCCACAGCAGAGAGCTGGCCTGGAAGAGGGGCAACCTGGACAGGATCCGATGCCCCGACTGGGACTAGAACCCGGTGTGCCGGCGCCGCAAGGCGGAGGATTAGCCTAGTGAGCCGCGGCGCCGGCCTCAAATGCCTTTTAAATACTGGGTATATAATGCCCGCTAAATTTCATGAACATATGCTAAAATTCTCATAAACAGCAGAATTAAAAGTGTTTGTTCTAAATTTTAAGGAATATCAACACATAAGAACTACAAAAGAAAATCACGGTATCTAGAGTGTCAATTTTTCTAAGGCTGTAAGATCTGTGCAAGGAAGTTTAACTTTGTTTGCTGCTTCATCCCTGGCACCTTGAAAAGAGACTGCCACTCAACACGCTACATTAATGGAATAATTCTGAATAAACAGATCTCAATCAGTTCATAAAATGATCTTATCAAGTCCATTAGTGTGAAGAGTTCAACCTTTAAAACACAGCTTGTATGCTATTTATGCACTTGTTTACAAGGCTTATTTTCAATCTTCTTCCAGCTGCTGGCCAGTATGAGGTGTCAGTGCTTCCAGGTATCACATAGCACACAGAGTTCCCAGGCAGTTTCAGCTGCTGCAACCTGATTCAGGCACTGACACCCAGACCCTGACAGTAAGCAGGACTGCTGGACAAAACATACAGACACACACAGGCTACATATGCCACCACCACCTTGGACCTCTCATGACATATTTAAAAGATTAATTTCATTTTACAAAAAGTAAAGATGCGGGGCCGGTGCTGTGGTGCAGCAGGTTAAAGACCTGGCCTGCAATGCCGGCATCCTATATGGGTGCCGGTTCGAGTCCCAGAATTCCTGTGTGGGTTTCAGGGACCCTGTGATGTGAGCCATCATCTGTTGCTTCTTAGGATGCACATCAACAGGAAGGTGGAATCAGGAACAGACCCAGGACTTAAACCCAGGCACTAGGACATGGGATGTGGGTATTCAAAGCAGGTTCTTAAGCACTGTTCCAAAAGCCCACCCCAAAAGTGGTATTTTTGGGTTCACTTACCACCATACTAACCCCAAATCTATACAATATCCATAGCATAAAATAAATAAAAGCATTTAATAGCCCAGTGTATCTATAGTAACAATCTTAAATTTTATTGTGTATATGTAAGGCATACTCCTATAACACAATGTTAGGAGATATTTATATAAACTGGTTACTGTGGTGAAACAAATGAATCCATTTACCTTCTCACAGTTATCCACATCCATTCAAATTCTTAAAATCGAAAGTCATTTTGATGTTAAAAAAATACTATTAATTCTTCAGTGTAACTGTTACTTCTGAGTTCAGGACTTAAGGTTCACAAAAAGAATTCTGGCAGTATTATTAAATTGTGGGTAATGTGACAGCAGGACTGTTTCTTGGAGTGGAAGGAGTTTTTTTTTTTTCTGTGTGCACTTCTTATTTATAATGTACTACTATATGAATGACCTTTATGGGAAGATACTTCATAAGAACATTGTAGATACTAGAATAGTTATGACTCGGTAACTAGATATTAAACAGAAGCACATACAAAGTATAACCTACTTAGTCATTAATTATTTCATAGTCTCCCCATCAATTGACAAGAGTCATTTTCATCAAACCCCAAGTATCTTACAAGGACACACCATAACTTTCTGCCATGATCTCTTGTGCTGGCAGTCTTGTGTCCCTGGTGGTCTGTCAGAGGCTCACCTGACAGGTCCAGCTCCTTGGTGGAGGCCAAGTTGGCCAGACTCCAGCTGTCACTGCGAGCTGCCAGGACAAACTTGTGAGCGCTGATGTGCCTGTCCCCAACCTTGATTTTCAAGTCACTGATGAAGAAAAATATCCATACATATGAAAAGAAAAATGTCATAATTACGTATAGCCAGAATTCACAGCTGATAAATACATGGGTATTGACTGATCAGCATGCATGTGCAAAAGAAAACAAATCATAGTCAAATTATTTCTATATGCCAGTACTGAATCCTGCTGGGGTGTGTTTACAGTATGCTGCTAGCAATGTTTTCTATTTCTGACATCCAGCTTTAATTCACATGGGATGCACTGCATTCAAATACATCCCCAAACAGAATTCCTATGGTGGTGAATCCACAAATTAAGTAGGATGATTAATATTCATGTATGAAGCAGAGATGTATTTTATGCAGAATAAACCAAGCTAAGCCACCAGGGAGAGGAAGATGGTAAGCTTGAAGATGATGACAGCTCTGTGAGTACAGTGCTATTATGTTCCAGATTAACACTCAGGCAAGGCTAAGAAGGAAAAACTATGAACAAGTTAGTTATGACAAAGCAGTCGAGAATGTGAAACCCAATACCTGAACTTGTGTTCTCACCGGAAATATTCAGACCTAATATTGGTCACTTTTTACTCAAACATTTACAAGGAAACTGGGTGGAAATCTTTTTCAAAACACGTTTTCCATTTGTAAAGCTTCATTACACAAAAAGAGCTTCCCAAACAGATATTTATGTTTAACTCTGAAATGTCAAATGTTAAGAGCAGACAGCATCTGGGCAGTTAACAAAACATCTAGACAACACACTGGGCTGACGTAAGCAAGGACCATACGGCTATGCTGGTAGCAATGCCAAGTTGTGAATTATCATCATCCTGCTTGTATCTGAATGTTTTTTCTACTTTCCTATTTCCCTTTAAAATCATTTGTAGTACAGGCATTTAGTGCCACAGTTAAGGAGCTACTTGGTATACCCACATCCCACACTGGTGTGATGGGGTTCTAGTCCTGGCTCTGCTTCTAACTCCAGCTTCCTGCTAACGCACATGCTGGAAGTCAGCAGGGGGGTGGCTCAAGTACTTGAGTTCCTCCACCCACACAGGAGACAACCTTGTGCAGCTTTCCCAGGTACATCAGCACAGAGCTGGATCAGAAGTGGAGCAGCTGGTACTCAAATCAGTGCTCATATGTGATGCTGGCATCACAGGTGGCAGCTTAACCTGCTGTGCCAAAACAACAGCCCCCAGAATACACTTTTTTTTTGAAAAAAAAAAATTTGTTATTTATTTATATGAAAGGCAGAATGAAAGTAAGAGGGACAGCCAGAAAGAGAGAGACCTTCCATCCACTGATTCACTCCCCAAATGCCCACAACAGCCAGGGACAGCCAAGGGTGATGCCAAGAGCCAGAAACTCCATCCAGGTCTCCCACGTGAGTGGCAGGGACCCAAATTCTTGAGCCATGATCTGTTGCCTCTCAAGCACAAGAGCAGGAAGCTGGATCAGAGCACAGAGTAGCCAGGACCCCAACTGGGCACTCCAACATGGGATGCAGGTGTCTCAGGTGGACAATCAACCTGCTGTGCCACAGAGCCCAGCCAAGAGTATTATTTCTGTGTAACGCTTGATACAGACCTATCTTACCCCACAAAAGCACTACCTTTAATATAAAAACTACTATTTTTAATTTAATGTGTGTAAAAGTATAGTTTAATCATATAATAGTATTAGCAGTTCTAATTCTATCAAAGATCAAGCTGTAACTAATTATAGCATATTAAATCATAAGATTAATAGTAATTGTTATAAACTACTATTAACATACAAGGACACTGTTTATCAATAAATAAGGAAGAAATGGAATTAATACTCTGTTTAAAACAGAATACAAGAGGCCGGCGCTGTGGCGTAGCGGGTAAAGCCGCCGCCTGCAGTACCGGCATCCCATATGGGTGCTGGTTCAAGCCCCTGATGCTCCACTTCTGATCCAGCTCTCTGCTATGGCCTAGGAGAGCAGAAGAAAATGGCCCAGGTCCTTGGGCCCCTGGACTCATGTGGGAGGCCCAGAGAAGGCTCCTGGTTTTGGATAGTCACAGCTCCGGCCATTGTGGCCAATTGAGGAGTGAACCAGGGGATGGAAGACCTCTCTCTCTCTCTCTCTCTCTCTACCTCTCCTTCTCTCTCTCTGCGTAACTCTGACTTTCAAATAAATAAATAAATCTTAAAAAAAAAAAAAAACCAGAATACAAAACTGTCTCAAATCACATTCTATGATAAAAGTTTCAAAAGTTTAATGGAAACAAGAAGTTATTTATTGGGGACAAATAATTTCTGGCTCTAAATACATTTCTTTAATATTAAATTCTAATAACTGAGGCCAGTGCTGCGGCTCAATAGGCTAATCCTCCGCCTTGTGGCGCCAGCACACTGGGTTCTAGTCCCAGTTGCCCCTCTTCCAGGCCAGCTCTCTGCTATGGCCCGGGAGAACAGTGGAGGATGGCCCAAGTGCTTGGGCCCTGCACCTGCATGGGAGACCAGGAGAAGCACCTGGCTCCTGCCTTCGGATCAGCACGGTGCGCCAGCCGCAGCGGCCACTGGAGGGTAAACCAATGGCAAAGGAAGACCTTTCTCTCTGTCTCTCTCTCTCTCACTGTCCACTATGTCAAAAAAAAAAAAAACCTTCTAGTAACTGAAAAGAATTCTGACTGCTATTTTAACAAAGCTAACATTTAGTCACAAAATTTAAAAATGAATGTTTTTATAAAATTCCTACCACCATTTGAATTTTGTTATGTCAAAATTTTTAAATGAAAGTAAATTAAATTTTTAAAATTAGTAGAGGTTATTAATGAAAATTTTAAAAATTTATTCTCCTTTTTATTTGAAAGGCAGAGAGAAGGAGAGAAACAGAAAGAAATCTTCAATCACTGCTTCATCCTGCAAATGCCCACAACGGCAAGGACCAGGCCAAGCTGACGCCAGAAGCCCAGAACTCAAACCAGGTCTCCCACACGGAAGCCGGGACCTAAGTACCTGAACTGTCATCTGCTGCTTCCCAAGGTATGCATTAGCAGGCAACTGGATCAGAAGTGGAACGGCTGGGACTCGACCAGGCACTGTGATATGGGATGTGGGCATCCCAAGTGGCAAGTTAACTGATGTGCCAAATGCTCACCTTAATAATCAATTTTAAAAACATGAATCAAAAATGGAAAATCTGGGGCTGCTGTTGTGGCACAGTGGGCTAAGCTACTGCTTGCTACATCAGTATCCCACATTGGAGCACTGGGTCAAGTCCTGGCTACTGTCCCTGAGAAGGCAGCAGCAGATGGCCAAAGTGCTCGGGCTCCCACCACCCACATGGCAGACCCAGACAAGATTCCCGGCTGCTGGCAACCATTTGGGGAGGGAACCAGTGGATGGAATTTATCTCCCCCCAACCAAACCCACTTGTCACTCTGCCTTTCAAATGAATCAGTCTTTTAAAAAAATGAAAAATTGACAAGTCCACAAAGAATCTACATGTTAGGTAGGAAGTCAGATATGAGCTTACATGTATGTGTGACATAAAGGCCTAAAGAAAAGACATCTATGTCCAGCATATGCATCTGCATCTCAAAGTCATCCGGTTCAGAGGCAGCCCAGTGTTCGCATCCTGACCTGCCCCTTCTACCGGATAACCTGCAGCCCAGTATCTGCATTTCAAATACCCTGTTCTGGATCCCGATTCTCCAGGGGGTCTTGCTACCTTTCCTCTAAACTCAGGATGGAGCCACGGAGCCAGCTAGGCTTCAATGTGTGAAGGCAAAGACCCATCTCTTTAACCCCCACCCACGCCCTCCCGCCCGGCCTCAACCGGACTGCGCGCTCAGCCATCTGCTTCTATGCTGAGTCGCCCGCCTGCCTGGCCAGATGTAATCTCTCCACTCAACCATGTAACCTTGCTCCTTCCCATGTCCGAGCAACTGCACTCTCTCCCAGGTCCTGTCTGGAGAGGTGCCCATCCGTTCTTACGGATGTCCCTGCCCTAATAAACCTTGCTATTTTACTTTCCACTACTCTGTCTCACGCCTGAATTCTTCCCTTCCTGAAGACAAGAACCCTGCCATTCTCTGGTAACATACATAGTAACAACTGATAGCCTAGCAATCTTTTTAACTTGATTCAAGTAAACAGTATTTTCCTGTAAAATGTAGACAGTAGGATATTGTTACTAGAGAGAAAACAACTTCCATCTAGAATCTCCTAAGCACTTAAATAGGAAAAAATAACAGCTTAATTGGTAAAAGAATGAATAAAGTAAATAACTACACATAATCATCATCTTTACCTTATGGAACAAAAAAACCTTCTCTACTGGGGTAAAAATAAAAGAAATTCACCAATTTCTTTCACATTTCTCATCTTAAAAAATTGAAAACCTACATGTCAGTGACTCCAGTTACTGATATACATGTAAAAATAACATATAAATTCCTGAACAAAAGGCACACTAAAAGATACCACTTTAGAAACTGATTTCCCGAGGCCGGTGCTGTAGTGCAGTGGGTTAACGCCTTGGCCTGAAGTGCCAGCATCCCATATGGGCACTGGTTCGAGACCCAGCAGCTCCACTTCCAATCCACCTCTCTGCTATAGCCTGGGAAAGCAGTGGAAGATGGCCCAAATGCTTGGGCCCCTGCACCCACATCGGAGACCCGGAAGAAGCTCCTGGCTCCTGGCTTTGGATTGGCGTAGCTCCAGCTGTTACAGCCAATTGGGGAGTGAACCAGTAGATGGAAGACTCTCTCTCTCTGCCTCTCCTCTCTCTGTGTAACTCTTTCAAACAAATAAATCTTAATAAATAAATAAATCTTAAAAAAATAAATAAATCTTAAAAAAAAAAAAAGAAAAGAAAAGAAAAGAAACTGATTTCCCTTGGGACTGCTGCCTGCAGTGCCGGCATCCCATATGGGTGATGGTTCGAGTCCCAGCTGCTCCACTTCTGATCCAGCTCTCTACTATGGTCTGGGAAAGCAGCAGAGGATGTCCCATAGTCCTTGGGCCCCTGCACCCACATGGGAGACCTGGAGGAAGCTCCTGGCTCCTGGCTTTGGATTGGCGCAGTTCCAGCTGTTACAGCCAATTGGGGAGTGAACCAGCAGATGGAAGACCTCTCTCTCTGCCTCTCCTCTCTCTGTGTAACTCTGCCTTTCAAATAAATAATAATAATAATAATAATAATAATAATAATGGACATTAAAAAAAAGAAACTGATTTCCCAACTGCAGTTACTCTATCTCAAGAGCTCAGTTCTCTACTCAATTGTAGATGACACAGGTATTCAACCTTCTTCAGACAAAAGGCAGGTTTTCAAAGCTGGAGATACCCTGAAATAATAAAATCACACCATAAAACTGATGAGGCAAACACTGAAAGGAGGAAACTGCCTCCTCTCACTCTCATTGTCTCCTAAATGACTACAGCTTAATGAATCTTGATACCTGATATTGTAATTCAAAGTAAATGATGGCTGCTCCACTGGGGAAGCGCCTTGGAGAGTGGGACAAGTCTGTAACAGAAATGTGCCAGGCTTCCCTGGCCTAGCAGGAAGCAACATGTTTATTTGTGGAAAAAACGACAATGAACTATATTTTACAAGAAGCTACATCTATTAAATTTAGGGAACTGTCCCGTGTACCAGAGTACATACTTCTATTTTTGGGGTATTAGCTTTTTCTTTAAGCGATAATAACCCAGTTTATTTGGAAATACTAAGTCTCCCCTCATCCAGTCATCCACCTCCCTAGCAGTGAAGCGCTCTTCTAGGTGCATATTCACATCTTTGCCTCTTTCACACCCGACATGCCAGTTCAGTGCTCCCTTGGTTCTGGTCTGGACGACATTCAACACTACAGGAGCTCTCTCTGCTCGCTCCCTTTACAACTTCCCCTACATGAGATTACTAGGTTCATCTTCCTCAAACACCACTGTGACTGTAAGAGTCCCAAAACTCAAAAACACTTTCTTCTGTACTTCCTAGAGGATCAAGTCCCCACTCCTCACCCAAGCATCCCAACCCCATACACCTTACTTTTCCCCTGCTGCCCCACCCCCACTCACTTTTAACCCTCTCATCACCTTTGAGCCTTTTCTCAGCTACTCTATGTGTAATATCACCTTTCCTATTAAATATCATGCAGTCTTTAGCATCTCCCTCACAACTCGCTCGCTCGCAATGAACAATGAAGCAATTACTAATTTAATACTCACAACAACCCTAAGGCAAGTAGTAACCCCATTTTACACATTAGGAACCCAAGGTGTGCCATGAAACTTGAGAGGTCACACAGACAGGAAGTGGCCAGCTGAACTCCTAACACGGACTGAGTCCAACCTCGACCAACACGCAATACCTACTGCCCTAGTTAAAAGGCCTTCCTCTGACCGTGCCCCTCTGAATTCCTTGATAGGTAAGCTACTTCCTGTCTGCACTGGCAATGTTATCACCATCACTCCCATGCTCTGTGAAGATAAGCAGACAAAGATCTTGCCTCAAGGAGCTTAACGTTCTAGGGAATAAAAGCTTGCAAATACCCTGATTAGAGAGAAATTCAGCAAGAAGGTTACCGTGGCCCAGGAATAAAGCTCCCCCAGGACTCGCCCTGTGCCCAGGAGCTCACCTGTACTGCTCCTGCTCATACAGGTCTGCCACTATCGTCAGCAGGCGGCTGATGAAGGACTCATTGGTGCTTTCCTTGTTTGCCTGTGCAGCCAAAAGAGTGCATCTCTTCTCCGTCTCTGCCAGTTTCTTCTGTAGCTTGACATACTCTTGCCGGAGCAGCATCAAGTGCTTCTCCAACTTGGCCACCTCCTCTGCAAGGGAACAAAGAATCAAGTTTGCTGTGGCAGGTGTAAGGCCGACAGCCCTCACCACTCCCTCTCCCCACATCAAAATGACTGGCCACACGATGCTACTGTTTCTCAGTGACAGTCCTATCGATCACCAATGGCTTTCAGGTGCTGCTGGTCACTGGGCCAAGAAAACCATGAGGCACACATGAAGATGCTGATGGCACCCGCCCTGCAAATCCTTCACTGTAAAGCCAGGCATCCCAAGGGGAGGACATCAAAACCACCTAGCAGACTCTGAAACCACTAGTAATGGTAACTTTTACAAGCCACACGCTCTTCCAAAAGCCTTACCCAAATTCTCCGTGATACACATGACAACCCTACCAGTTAGGTACTATTGCTAGCCCTAGTTTATAGAGAAGGACAAGAGACACGGGACACAGCTGATGAATTTGCCCAAGGCCATAAAGCTCATGAGAGGCGGAGTTGGTATATGAACCCGGGCATTCTTTTTTTTTTTTTTTTAAAGATTGATTTATTTATGTGAGCAGCAGAGTTAAAAAGGGAGAGATCTTCCATCTGCTGGTTCACTCCCCAGATGGCCGCAATGGCTGGAGCTGCGCCAATCTGAAGCCAGGAGCCAGGAGCTTCTTCCTGGTCTCCCACTGGGTGCGGGGGCCCAAACACTTGGGCCATCTTCTATGACTTTCCCAGGCCATAGAAGAGAGCTGGATCAGAAAAGGAGCAGCTGGGACTCGAACCGGGGCCCACATGGGCTGCTGGTGCTGTAGGCTGATGCTTAACTACTATGCCACAGCGCCAGCTGTTGAACTTCTTACCACCTTGAGTCCAGGCTGGAAGCAACTGACCTGTAGATTGGCTGGAGCTGAGCAGGACTGGGCACCCGCAGGCCCAGCAGGGGGCAGACTCGAGCCTTGTGACTGCCAAGGCCACAGCTCTGGAGCGGGCTGCAGGCACACCACTGGGCTACTGAGCGTGGCCGGGCTCCCACCCACCAGGGCCCTTGGTCCCTTCTACAGCAGCAGCTCCTGGGAGCTCATGTGAGGGAGGGCGAGGGGCTAACGGAGGGCACACGACGGGCTCCCCTCTCCGGCCCAGAGATGGGCTGTTTGCTTTCTCCCCTCCCCCATCTGTCAGCTGGCTCTAGGGAGTGAGAGCCACGAGAGCTTGGAAGGGTCCTGCGGCCAGCAGCTGTGATGCCACACACGCAGCTCCTGTTCCATCTGCCGGCACACAGCCAAGTAGTCACGTGGAGTCCTGTGTTCAGCCAGGGCTACGGGGCCCAAACTTGGGTGACACCCTAGTGGCTGAGGGCAAAAGGTCCCCTCAGCACCTGGACCTCAACACCTGGGACTGCCAAACAGCCTGGGGGGTTCTGAGCGACAGCCCACCATGGCCCACTCCACAAGCCGCGGGGGCCCTTCCTCGGCCCTCCCCGGCTCCCGGGGAGCAGGTGGCAGTCCAGGGCCCTCCACGCCCACTGCGTCCCGTCTTCCCTCGGGGCTCTCCTGGGGCTGCCTCCACCCCACTTTACAAGGACATCCGTCACTCTAGGCCGCCGCCCGCAAGGCTGGCATTTTAGCCTGGTCGTCTCCCTGAAGACCCTGGTCCCCTGTGTGTGTGTGGGGGGGGGTCACGATCCAGCCCCCAGAGGCACACACAAAGGTGAACAGGCCGAGCCCTGCACCCCTGGCCCAGGGGTGCAGGCAGAGGGCCAAGGGCGTGAGTGCGCCCCAGGGGCTCCGCAAGGGGCAGCAGCTACAGCTGGCCCAGGGCCTGCCGGGCATTCTTACCCCAAGTCCTGGGACCTTATTACTCACTACCCCACACTAGCTGACCCCTTCCTTCCTTCAGGAGCCATTGTTGACTAACAATGGTTTAAATGGAAGCAAGGCACAGTCCACGGGCAGGTAGCAAGGTGGGAATTCATTAAACATTTACTAAGTGTCCACCGGTGCCACAGGGATTCCAGATCTTGACACTGGCCTCACGCCCACTTCCCACCCAGTTTGCCTCATTCTCAGACACTGTTCTGAGAAAACAGCTACTGCCAAGGTAGCGGCACCTACTCCCAACTCTCATGCTTCCTCAGAGAAGAGTTCCCTCCTAGCCAAGTTTAATCCCTCCACCTCTGCTCCAGATCCCATCCCCCTCCCGTCCTCTTCAGCACCTCTAGCATCACCCACCCCTTCTCCAGCAACTTCAATCTTTCAACTGGGTGCTTAGACCTGTTCAGGTCTCTGAACACATGTGCAAGCACCTCTGCCTTCCCGTCTTTAGCTAGCCCTCACCATTCCCGCATCTGCTGCTTGCCCGGCGAGCCCTCACTCTGTCCCCATCATTTCCTGGAAACCCTTCTCACCAGTCACTCTTCAATCGTCAAATCCAACAGACCCGTGCCAGCGGCTCTCCTCCTACAGCCTCCCCACACAACACACAGACTGCTGTCTGGCCACTCCTCTTTTCTTATTTCAGTAACCACAAGGCCACCCTTGCTCCAATTCTGTTCTCTGTCTCTTTCATGTGCTTTCCTGCACCCTGCCCATGCTTGGGCACGGTCACCTCCTGGTCCTCTTCTAAAGTGAATGTTCTCCCAAGTCAGGCCAGACTAAGCTCTCGTCTCGCTCAACATAAATTTCTCACTGGGGCCTGCAGGCACCTCATTCACAATGCCCTAAATCAAAGCTTCAAGTAATATGCCTACAGTGGCCCTGGAGACATAACTGACACCAGCCTCTCCCAGATACCCAAACCAGACACGGGGAGTAGTCCTGGATGTCTCCCATCTACTCACATGGCACCTATGCTCAGCCTGTAGAAACCACTGACTGTCCCGCTTAAACATCTCAGGGAATCCTTCCTATCTCCTGTATCTCCCATGTCCGCTGCAACTTTAATTCAGGCTCTTACTCATCCCAGCTGATCTCCAATGAGAAAGGGGTCAAGGCTGCATTCTCAGTGCCTAACACAGAGCCTGATACACAGGTGCTCACTAAATATTTGATCAATTAAATTGAATAAGTAAACTGCAGTTCTATTAAATGAGATCTCTTTCCTCTCCTCAACTTCATCCTTCTCCCACCTGCTGCTCAATAGCTGTTTTCTTTATAAAAAGTGAGACAGTTAACTACTGATTCAAAATCAAGAATGCTTAAACTAAGTGGCACAAGTTTGAGGTTATGCAAACACGCTTTAAAAACTATGTAACATTGAGCCGGCGCCGTGGCTCAATAGGCTAATCCTCCACCTTGTGGCGCCGGCACACCGGGTTCTAGTCCCGGTCGGGGCGCCGGATTCTGTCCCGGTTGCCCCTCTTCCAGGCCAGCTCTCTGCTATGGCCAGGGAGTGCAGTGGAGGATGGCCCAGGTGCTTGGGCCCTGCACCCCATGGGAGACCAGGAAAAGCACCTGGCTCCTGGCTCCTGCCATCGGATCAGCGCGGTGCGCCGGCTGCAGCGGCGGCCATTGGAGGGTGAACCAACGGCAAAGGAAGACCTTTCTCTCTCTGTCTCTCTCTCTCACTGTCCACTCTGCCTGTCAAAAAAAAAAAACAACTATGTAACATCGAATACGCATATTCAGAGTACTTTTAAAATTTATTTATCTTTAAAGATTTATTTATTTATTTAATTTATTTATTTGAAAGGCAGAGTTACAGAGAGAGAGGGAGAGACAGAGAAAGAGAGATCTTTTATCAACTGGTTTAAACCCAAATGGCTGGCCTGGGCCAAAATCGGGAGCTCCAATCTGGGTCTCTCACATGGGTGGCAGGGGCCCAAATATTTGGGCCATCTTCTGCTGCTTTTCCAGGCACATTAACAGGAAACTGGACTGAAGTGGAGGAACTGGGACTTGAACCAGAGCCTATATAGGATGCCAGCATAGCAGGTTAACAACTTAACATACCACCGCAATGCCAATTCCCTAAATCTATTTGCATTGACTTGAAAGGCAGAGAGATGGACACAGTCAGAGATCTTCTATCTGCTGGTTCACACCCCAAATGCTTTTAACAGCTGGGACTCGGCCAGGCTGAAGCCAGGAGCCCAGAACTCAACCTGAGTCTCCCACATGAGTGGCAGGGATCCAACCACTTTAAGACATTACCTGCTGCCTCTCAGGTGCACACTGGCAGGAAAATGAATGGGGGGCCGGCACTGTGGCATAGTGGGTAAGGCTGCTGCCTGCAGTGCTGGCATCCCATACAGGCGCAGGTTCGTTACCTGCCACCTGCAGTGCCGGCATCCCATACGGCCGCTGGTTCGAGTCCCGGCTGCTCCACTCCCGATCCAGCTCTCTGCTATGGCCTGAGAAAGCAGTGGAAGATGGCCCAAACGCTTGGGCCCCTGCACCCATGTGGGAGACTAGGAAGAAACTCATGGCTCCTAGCTTCGGATTGGCGCAGCTCCAGCCGTTTCAGCCAATTGGAAAGTGAACCATCCCCCACAAAAAAAAAAAGAAAAAGAAAAAAAAATTAAAAAAAAAAAAAGTGAACCATCGGATGGAAGACCTCTCTGCCTCTCCTTCTCTCACTGCGTAACTCTGACTTGCAAATAAATAATCTTTAAAAAAAAAAAAAAGAAAGAAAGAAAGAAAGAAAATGAATTGGAAGCAGAGGCAGAACTCAAACCCAGGCAGTCTGACAGCAGATGAGGGTGTTCCCGGCATCTTAACTGCTGCGTCAAATGCCTGCCCCAGAATAAAGTATTTTTAACAAAATAAAGCAAGCAGTTCCATTTTTATTATAAATACTCCCATTTATGAAGAGTAAAAAGACAAATATCATGAAAAATCAGCAGGTAAAGCCAAGAAGGGGGATTTATTTTTCCTTTACACTTCTCTACCTATTTTAGGTATTCTATAATAAACATATCCTGCTTCCATAATTAGAAAAAAGTGTCTTAAGAGAAATCTATTTAAATATTACTAGACTGCCTTCTTTGTACATACAGTAGGGAACATTTTCCCCCTCTTCTAGAGGATCCACATAAATAAATGCCT